GAATCTCGTTAAAAGTATATTTCTGGTTGAATATGATGCATTAAAAAGTAAATAGTCATAAATTTAGGGGTCAATGAGCTACAGTTTTCATCACAAGTTAACAAGTATGTAGGTACTTAGTCATTAAGACATAATAACAATGCATATTTTAAATGAATCATTTCTATGGCTTTTTTGGGGGTGCAACTTTCGCTTTAACGAATAACAGGCACGACTTTTTACAAACTTAAAGCCTCAACTGAACATTAAAAAGTTTACATTATTATTTTTGGCATCTCTGGAACATTGGCTAGCTGAGTGCCTTATGCACTTATTGTTCTTATTATTTCTTTGACTGTTGTTGTAGTTGCTTCTGTTGCTGCTGTGCTACTGATGTTCGCTGTGCCGTGGCGTGCAACGAACCGCAGCGGCGGAGCGCACACCGAGTACTCACTCGTACACCTCAGGCCTCCATCTCCTCGTCCACATCCTCATCCTCATCCTCCTCATGGAGTATCCACTCCATTTCCACCAGAAGCGGGGGAACAGTACCACCCCCGAAGCTCAACTTCAAGAAAAGCCGGGTCGAATGGAACTGAACTGAGCCCGGTTAAATTTAGTAGGGCTGGGCATGGGCAGGCCTGCCCTGCCATCGAGCAGAAAGCAAAAAAAGCCCCAAGAAAACCAACTTAATAAACGCGTGCGCAATTTTCCTACTTTTGTAATTCAATTAAAGCGAGTTTACTCTACTTTTTTGCACTTTTGACTCCAAGTGAACCGAATGAAAGGGGAGAAATTTATGCACATAAAGGTATGAATTTGTTAATAAACCATTTGAATGCCCTTTCATACTATTAAGGACTATCTATTTGAATTGCTTTAAGATTTAAGAATAATCTCTTTAACGCATAAACTAAAACACAGCCTCTTATAGGTTTAAGAATCAGCAGTAAAGCATTTTAACTATCTTTTATTTAGTGCAAGATACTTTCATCACATATTTTAAAGATACTTTCCTCGTCTTAAGAACACGTCTAAGATAGCTTTTCAGATATCCCAAACTCTTCACAATTTGATGAATTACCTATAATTTTCAGATGTTTTCTACAAACTGAAAGTACCCACTTAAAGAGTATTAAAAGCAGAAGTTTAAGGCGGTATCCCAATCTCTTGACATTTACTTCTATCTCGCAATTGTAATCGAGTGAATTGCCTGCCGTTGGATTGTGCTTTTCAGAGCTTGAAGTTGGCCGACCTGCTCGACTTTATGTTGTTATTGCTGTTGACTTCTTGAACGTGTCAATTGTCATTACCCGCAATTTGCCAAAGAAGGGAAAAGAGCGTTGATCGGGATCGTAACAGCAAGCATATACCCATTTTACGAAGGGGCCAGAAAATCAATAAATAGCTAAGAGCCAAGAGCTTCTTCCACGTTTTTTTCTTTCGTATTTGTCTTTTTGTTGTCTGCGACTTGTCGGTGGCAATTAATTTGTTACTAGCAGCGGGCGGAGCCACACAACTGGCAACTACAACAATAAAAACAACAACTACAATGGGAACAATGACAACAAAAGCGGCAAACAGCGAAAAGTCGTTTGTCATTTCCAGTTAACGAGTAATTAAGCATAACGTTAGAATTTTGCAACAACGCCATTGAGAACAAAAGAAGCTACAACATTTCGAAGGAGGCGTAAAATGACAGCGAAAAAAAATCTGGCAAAGCATACACATCTGATGTTTTGAAAGTTTTCCCTTTTTTTATTTTTTCCTGTTTTCGATTTTTTGTTTGCCCTAAAAAATGCGAATATTAAATTCTTTTCCTCGAAACAACTGGGCAAAAAAATCGTTTTCAACAGGCGAGAAGAGAGCAAATTACTTGGCACCACAAAAAGATTAATGACTAAACACAAAAATAAATAATTTCTAAAACATCATCAGCCAAGTTATTTATGTGGTAGTTGATCGTAAATGTTTTGCGTGGGATTTAACTAAAGTTAAAACTTGGGTTTCTTGGAAAATGAAGGAAAAGATTTAAGTATTTTAAGGGCAGGTTGTTCCTTTTATATTTTTTTTTAAAAACCCCTAAAATATGTAAAATTTTTTGTTTTTGAAAAGCTTTTAAAACTGAAAAAGAATGAAATGTGTGAGTACATCCCTCGCCTTGAGCAATTAATGCACAATTTGCCACTCAGTCACTCCCAAACGCACAGACTTTTTTGTCGTCGTGCGAGTTTGGAGTATACTTGATATATCAAGTTGGAGAAGTAGGAAAATAAACAAAAATAAAGAAAATGCATGGGCAAACAACAACAAACAGAGAGCAACAACTGCAGCGAACTGAAGAAAACACAAGAAAATGGAAGTGAAAATGGAAATGGAAAAGGGAAAAGCGAAGGCGACAAAAGACAACCGACGACAGCGTGGACAAATACATGTACATACACACATCCATACAAATTGTACACACCCAGTTGAGAGTGTGTGTTTGTGCATTCATTGAAAAATAAAATTGTACCGCAACCAGAATGACGGCATATAAAAAGTAAAATTAATTGCACTCAAGGGACCGACGTGTTGGTTACTCATTAAGTGTTACATTTAAATGGAATAAAGGTTAGAGAACAGAAAATTATTGCTTAATTAAGGATAGATAGAAAAACGGGTAGAGGAATAATGAGCACTTTTTTTCTTAAATTAAAGGTTTTTGATAAAAAAAAAATGTAAAAAATAAAGAGAAACAAACTTTAGGTAATAAAGATTTCAATTAAAAAGGCAGTTGACAACTGAGGCAGTAATTTGTAAAACCGATCTAAGGAGTGTGTCATTATACTGTTTTTTGGATACCGAAAGTGCCAAGTGACACTTGCACACCCACTTTATAAGGAGTGTGCGGCAGATAGATAGAAAAGACAAGTCAAACAACCACAAAACAAGCCGGGCAACAAAAATAACAACAACTTGTAAGCGAAAGCGATAAGAAATTGAAAAAGTGCGTGCTGCTGCATCCATATATATTCATTTATATATATCTATAGCTATATATGTCCATGTCAGTTCGTTGCCTGAAGACAATTACCCCGATGCATTTGTTTTCTTATTTTTCGTCATACCTGGCTTGAGTGGAATTACTTAATAATTTCAACAATTTAAAATTCCAAACGCGTTTTTTGCACTCTGCTTTCACGCATTTTGTGTTTATCTTTTTTTGTTTTGTTTGTTCGAGACCAAGTTTTCGGGTGAATAAATTTAAAAACCAAAGCCGGAGAATTCTGTTTGGGTTTTCGTGTAAATCGTTTATTGTTGCCACGTCTGATAATTACAAAGTAAGACTGTATGTGTGTGTGTTTGCATCGGCATAAGTAAGTTTATTTTTAAAAATGTTGTCTTTGCATGGCTTTTTATAGCGCTGCATTTGCATTTTGTCGATTCGTTAACTTTGCGTTGCACTTCTTTCGAATTAGAGTTGCACAGAGGAATTAATAATAATTGAAATGGGCCCCACGTAAACTCCATTCTTATCCAATATCCGCTGGGTGCGTTCAAATAAGCTATTCCCAGAAATCTGACTAGGTAATAGCCAAGAAAAAGTACTATTTTTAAAAACAATGTTTACTGAAATATACCAAGATAAGATTATATTATCAACTGCGGTAGGGGTAATAAAGGTGAAATATTTAGGAAAAGCCGTTCCGTGGAGATGCTGCTATATCATGACAATTCCAACAACCGTTTTATCGGTAATTTCATTAAATTGACAATAAATTGATCTCTACACGGGCAAAAACAATTGAATAGCAAACATATTGGCATTTCATTTAAACAATAATATTTGCCTTACTTTGTTCTTTGTATTTACTTGCTTTTGTTGTCTTTTGCACTCGGCTCTAAACATTCAGATGCGATGCGATGCGATGACAGTAAATAGTAAATAAAAGCAAAACAAGCCAGAAAATTGATACAGAGTGTTGTCTTTTGTGTATTCCCCCTCCACTGCCCACAGAGACATATCCCCTCCGGTCCCACCAATTAAAGCAACGATGACATCACGGATGGCAAACAATGATGACACGCCAACGGAGGACTCTCATTTCGCTTTTCGCCGTTGTGCAAATTGAAATGCTTTCACATACGCCAGACAGCCATGGTCATCACCATAAAAAAAGAACGTGGAAAAGTGGAAAATATTCTTATCAACAGACAAGGGGCGGGTTGTTTTGCATACAGTCCAACTTCAAAAGCCCAAACCCACATCTGACACACAAAAAAAGTACTTATCTATCTAGATACGACTGCAGTTTGTATTAGATAAATCGTCATGAATAATGGTGTTTTCAATTTAATAGTTTATGTAATAAAATGGGGTTTTAAATGTTTCTTTATCAACGATGGTGCATTTTTCTTTACTAAAATATTAGATATACTCTTGGAATTGAACATTGAAAACAGTGAATGACGACATAAAAGTCACTATCGCTGACATTTCTTTGACAAAGAAAAAACAAAAACAATTTCCAAAAAAAAATACTTCTTAGAAAATCTTAACTACAACGAAGGGCATTCTCTAAAAATCGAAAATTTCGTGAATTTCGTTAAGTTACTGATAATTTAATTTTGGGATAATTATATCCCTACTAAATTTAATTTCTATTTATATGTATCCGTTATTCGTTTTTGAGCATCGACACTTTACTATTACTTTGCACACAGCTGTTTTCATGGGAAATAAAACAATTAAGGGTTAAGTTTCCGAAGATAACTCAAGGCCATCTTAGGCATTTATCTTGTTTGCTTGTTTAGAGGTCTCACTGTAGACGAAAATGTAACACTGCCAAAAGTGAGGCCAGCAGGGAGCTGTTGCTGTTTTCATTGCCCGGTGGTTGATGAAGTCATAGATGGGCGGGGGTCACCGGTGGGTGGGACTTCTCCTATCCCAGACGGGAATGGAATGACACACACTAGCACAATCACCCACACAAAGGACAACGCAAATAGAGGAGTGGGAGTGGGTATGGTTTACTTACCGCTCCACAATCGGCTGCCGGCGAATTCTCGACGATGTCGTAGATGACATGTGGCGGTCCAGTGGTTCCGAGCAGCGAAAACCCGAAACCGGAATGCTGCTCACTGCGCCTCAGCACCACTTTCAGTTCTTCGCTCATTTTGGCTGTCTCCTTCTTCGTCCTGCTCACGATCGGATTTTTGCTTTTGTTGTTTTGTATTAATTTTCTTGGTTAACCCCTGGGTGTAGTTAATCCCCACGCGACGGGTACTTTTCTTAGTTGCTTTAATTATTTCGCGTTTTGGGCTTGGCCAACTTCATTTGCACTCGAACTGCGACACTCTCATTTCCAAACCACTCACAACACTCACGCACACACACACTCGTTGGCAGACTCACACACACGAACTTACGGATGACGAGGGCTCAAAAAAACTCGAAACTCCTTAGCAAATTTGTTAAACATAAACCATCATTGCATCTGCTCTTCAGTGGCTTTCTTCTTTTCTTTTCACGCAATTTTTCGTTCCACGCAAACTTGTTTAATTCTCACTTCTTCTTCTCGCTTCGTTTCTTTTTCTGTCGCTTTTGTTCGACTGTTTCACCGCCGCTTTGCGGATCGCGGGGAATTTTAACCGCACATTTTCGGACAAATGTGGAGCTATCGCATCGTATTTGTAAATTGTAAATTTAACTATTGTACTAGGGACCAGTGTGACCGCGCCGATAACGATCAAAAATACCATCCGGCATTTCAGTAAATACCATCAGATACCATATTAGTTTCAGGAAACATCGCTTATATAGCGTTTATTTTTAAGAGCAAATTAAAATTTGTTTTTCGTTTATTCTTATATAAATTACTTATTTCGATTTGTATTAATTAAAAATATTATTGGAGTGGTAAGTTCATACCTGATATTTAAAAGTTATCAAATAAATTAATATCGATATCTTCTTCTTTACGCCATTATTGAAGCGGTTATTGAACTAATTTAAAAAAGTCTTGGTTTGGAAAATATATTTATTTTGTTTTAACAATTTTGTACCCTAAACCATATTTAATTGTATACGTATACGTAATTGTATAAATAAACAAATATTTTTTACAGCGATTAAGTACTTATATTAAATTATTAATGTGAAGTAGAAAAATTAATTTTTTACATTCTCTAACAAGCTGGATCTGTGAACTGGAGTGGAAGTTAACAGTGTACAAGGAGTGCAGTGGAATTAACAGCATGAACTGCGTTTCGTAGTAACCGATAGTTACACTTAATTGTATGTTTAGCGGTGACGCAAACCAGCGATCCTATACCGTTTCAGTTTAAAAACATAAAGGCGGGAATTTGAAATTCAATTCAATTTTGGTAATTTAACGTTTTTGTTCTATAATCATCGTAAAATCCGTAAGATCTAATTAAAATCTTTAAGCAATTAAAATAATGGTTAGGAAATAATAATACATAGCATAACTCCACTAATCGTATATTTATTTTCAAAATAATAATAATTATAATTCTAGTAATGTAATAAATGCTAAATAAAACAATTGAATAGAAGGATCCCAATTATTCATCACTGTACTCTAATAAACTTCTTTCATTTTCCATTTCTGGGCTACGTACTTATTCACACATTAATTTGTATATCAAACTCCACTTTGTCAAGAAAATCGAGGGGATCTACGCTCAGTAGCCGTTATTAATCCGCCGCATCAGCTTAAAAGTGCGTGCAATTGCGACTTTTAGATAAATCTCCGACCAGTTTTTACGACCTGCCGACGGTTGTCTGTTCAAATTTTATAGCTGCCGCAGTTGGTGGCACAAAGCACTTGACTCATGCAACCCACTTCCGTTTCTGACCGGACGACGGGGGATCGGATTCGGGTTTGTTGTGACAACAGTTCGTAGGCTAAGACAACAAGCCGATCTGCGGGTGTCATAACCACTCATACTCGGGGTCCAGATGTTGCGCACAATTATCATATCAGCAGCACATCATTTGCGACTAAGTGAAATAGCAGACCGGACTGGCACACTCTGCTGTGATTCCTTAATAAGCGGCTCCCAAGCGTCCGCGTTCTTAGTATTAACTTAGCCCTAGAAGCGAATAGAACCGAAATGAAGAACTCCCACGCGTACCCAGATTACGAGTCCTGTTACTACGAGGATGTTACAAAGTCGTGGCTTAATCAAACCGAGGGATACACGGACTGCAGTTATGGATACGGCCAAAGTGAGACTTCAACCTACACGGACTACAACAAAATAGACACTAATTTGTACAACGAATCCAACAATCAATGGATACAAAATGAGCCAGCTGCTGTTCAGCTCCCTCTAATACAAACAGCCAAGCACCGAACCACGAATCGAAAGGAACGCACGGCATTTTCAAAATCGCAGCTCAAGGAGCTGGAAACCGAGTTTTGTTACTCCAACTATTTGACCCGCCTGCGTCGTTACGAGATCGCTGTCGCCTTGGAGTTGACAGAACGGCAGGTTAAGGTGTGGTTTCAAAATCGACGGATGAAGTGCAAGCGCATCAAGCTAGAGGAGCAGGAAAGCAACAACAAAACGCAGTTATAGTTTGTACAAGGACATATTTTAACACAATTCATCTTACAAAATGTTTTCGCTTACTTAACAACTATAGTAAATGTATTTTAAGCTACTTCTTGGACTTCTTTGCCTTTCCCTTGGGCAAGGGTTTGGCCAGCGACTTGGCTGCGGCCAGCTGCAGCTTCTGAGTGGCGGCATTCTTGATGCTCTTGCCAGCGGGAGCTAATTTCTTTTTCTGTATACCGCCAGTGCCGGGCTTGCGTTTTAGTTTATCAGTAGGGCTGGCCTTGTTCTTTTTCTTAGGTGGCGGCGGCAGTTCCTCTTCTTCATCGCTGTCATCGCTGGCCTGGTCACTGTCCTCCTCCTCCTCCTCCTCCTCATCAACCTCTAACTCAGACTCATCATCGGATGCATCTACGTAGTCCTCATCGTCGGAGTCCTCGTTAATGGTATTGCCCAATAAATCTTCCAGAGATATGTCTTTTTTTGGCGTTTGCTTTTGTTTCTTGCCGGCTGCTGGCTTGCTCGTGGATGCCTCAGTAGTCTCAGCTGTCTCTGAGGTTTTCTTTGACTTCTTTACTGGCTCAACCAGTAAGTTAGAGAAATCAATGCCCAAGCCCTTGTACTTTTCCTGTAACTTCTTTATCTTGTTAAGATTGGCCACGGTGCGTTTCTGGCATGCGGACTCATCCCAGTTGTTTTGCTTCTTCACACTGCGCTGGGTGGCTTTGGTCAAATCGGAAATGTAGATCTCCTTGCCGGCCTGGAAAGGAAAGATATTTTTATAGATATTCTATTGCAATGAGTGCCAGTTTCGTGGACTCACCTTATTTGTGACTTTCTTTACGGAGGTTCTGAAGTAGTTAAAGGTCTGCTTCTCCGGCGGAATGTAAGACGCCTTGACCACCTTCTGGAACATGAGGTAATTGTCCATGGTGTCAGCAGCCACCTTTGCCACTTCCGGATACTCGAACTCGACGAAGGCGTAGCCCTTGCTGTTACCGGTACGCAGGGATCGGGCCAAACGGACACGGAGAACGCGGCCGAACTGGCGGAAGTACTGGCGTAGTTGCTGTTCGAAGAATCCATGGGGCAGGTGCTTTACAATGATCACACCGCGCTCAGGACCCTTTTCCTTTTGGGGCCTGGCCTTGGCCACCTTTTTCTTTAGCTAAAATGGAGACAGTTTACGGTTACCCCACCGAAGCTACAGTTGTTTTTGTAGCAGCTTACCTGTCCGGATATAACATCCTTGGTTTTATCTATAGTTTTCTTGGGCGTAGCTTGTTTCTCGATCTTTTGCGCCTTGGGTTTCTTTACAGGCGGCATTTTAAATCGTGTTAATTAACTAAAATTGGGAATTGGGAATAAACGTTGTAAAAGTATAAAAACCGCCGCACGTGGAGATAATAAAGTACTGTAAATTGTCTTAGCGCGTTCGCTTCCGCGTTAGTCAGTTTTTTTCGGCCTTATCGCCTGGTCACTCTGTATTTTCTTATTTCGTTTCTGTTTGTTTGCGCATTAATTTTTGCCGCCAATATAAAATGAATGTGTCTACGACATCTTTAAATAATTCCTTCATCGAAGAAGACGATATGCGTCTTGGCTATAATCATGAAAGCATAGTGAACTTCCTCGAGAAGTCGTCTATCAAGGAGTGGTTTTCCTACGCAATAGAAACTACAGACGCCAAACAGGTGAATGCTATCAGTCTGTTTTAAGTTAATAACAGTTATAACAGTTTCATTTAGTTGCTAGACCGCTTTGTAGTCACCTTATCAGGTAGTTTCGATCTGTATTTGGAGCAACTACTTGATCTTTTTACCCTCTCCATTATGATGATGACTTACCAAAGAGACAATTTATTGCTGATGAAGGAGCGGTTCATGCTTATAGATGTGGTCAGTCATTTGGCGGATTCCCTAGATTCAGAGGAGGTTGGGCGGTTCGAATCTCTTATTTAGTATACATTAACCTTTTAACTTCTTAGATTCACTACATAGCCTCGGGCTTATACGAAAACTTAGTGACAGGCATAGGATTGGAACGCTTGGAAAGAGTTTTAGACATGCATGCCGCTATTCCCGCCTTGGTAGAGTCTTCCAGTCTTGGAAACGATATTTCTGTGGCTCTACTGCTTACCATAATGGGGCAGTACACAGGGAAATCAATTCCACTGGACAATAAGGAAACCGTAAGTTATAAATATTATTTGAAGTCTATCTGAAATCATATTTTTAAGGCTCGCAAGGCTTTTGAGTTGGCCAAATTAATCAATTGGCATCAGTTGGCGAACAGTGGTCGCCAAGCAGATATGTTCATGCTTGTCCGAACATTCAGCCTGATCATCAATTGCCGCAGCATTCGAGAAGAGTGTCCCGATTGGAAGGATAACTTGGGCGCTGAGATACACAAATACTTTCTTCAGGTGCGCAAGGCATTCCAAAGCACTGCCGCATATGGACCTTTTGAAATGATGGTACGGTTAATAAATTTCCCTAAGAAGGCTTTCTAACTTTTAGTACTTGCAGATCGAACGATTTATTGCTTATTGCGTGGTTCGCGGAGCCACAACCACGTACGTTCTTCGTGCAGCATTTAAAGTTAAGATTTTAATGTTTTTTTTTTCCACAGACCCCAACTTTGCAATTACAAGATTTCCGAGATTGCCATTACAGACTCTCAATAATGGTTGAGCGGGATACTGTTTAAGAATCCTAAATCGTTTAATTTTAATGTAAAAAGGTTTGTAAGAGCGTGCAGTATGCAAGTAACACATATTAAGCATACAGCTGAGAACAAAAATAATACCAAATATTTGATTTATTAAGTAAAATTAAAAATTAAGTTATTTTTTGTAATAAAAAGTTTATATTGTTTGATTCAATGGTCTGATCTTGACCTTGAATTTTGAAATGTACGCATTTTAGTGGTTTATGGTCATACCGAAATTTATAGTAAATTTTTTTGAATCCAGGTTTTTTCGGCGCTCTTGCGACGGTCACACAACGCTCGACGGCACGTGTTGACTGCATTTTAAAATCGCTTTTAACAACATTTGACAGGAGTTGCACTGGCCGAGCAGTCGTATTAGTCGCCCAGTATGTTCTACCTAATCGGCCTTGGCCTTGGCGACCTTAAGGACATCACGGTCAAAGGTCTAGAGATAGTAAAGCAATGCAGTCGTGTTTACCTGGAGATGTACACCTCGATTCTCGGCGTCAGCCTTGAGGATATGGTAGGTATCTAGATTCACTTTTGTATGTGGAGCACCCACCCCTATCACGTCTGTAATCCACACAGCAAGAGTTCTACGGACGACCTCTTCTGCTGGCCGACCGAGATTTAGTGGAGCAAGGGGCCGATGAAATCCTGGCGGGTGCAGGCGAATCCGATGTAGCCCTGCTCGTAGTGGGCGACCCCTTTGGCGCCACCACCCACACAGACTTCATTTTGCGCGCCAAGGAGAAAAACATCCCCTACAAGGTCATCCACAATGCCTCGATCATGAACGCCGTCGGCTGCTGCGGCCTGCAATTGTACAAATTCGGTGAGACCGTATCGATTCCCTACTGGGACGAGACCTGGAAGCCAGACAGCTTTTACGATAAAATAAAGCTGAATCGCCTGCACAATATGCACACACTGTGCCTGCTGGACATCAAGGTTAAGGAGCCCACGCCGGAGTCCTTGATGCGCAAACGCAAGGAATACATGCCACCACGATTCATGACCGTGGCAGAGGCGGCACAGCAGCTTCTGTCCATTGTAGAGAAGAAGGATTCGCTTGAGAAGAATACAGTGTTAAACGAGCAGTCACTGTGTGTTGGATTGGCCCGTGTTGGTCAGGAATCGCAACAGATCGCAGTAAGCACGCTGCTTGAGATGCGCTCCACCGATCTGGGCGGACCGCTGCATTCGCTCATCATTCCCGCCAAGGAGATGCATCCCCTGGAGGTGGAGTTCCTGCAGCAGTACGCCCGCAGCCTGAAGCTGGACGACTACAACCACTAATTCCGCTGCGAAATTACCTATTTAAGTGTCTAGGAAATGTTGTCTGTGCATCTGAATTCAATTTACGAAGCTAGAAGAGCTGGAAGCTCAGGAAGAAAGTGATATCGCTTGATGCCACCCTTATACGTATGTAGTCTGCCGTTCGGCAGCTGAAATAAAATCGCATTCACCCATCGCATATTTATCTCAGAAGCTTTAATAGAGGGTTTCCATATCAATAGTAGAGGCCTCGCATGCGGCGAGAGGATCCCTGGCGGTCGTATAGCATATTAAACTTGTTTACAAAGTGGTGCATATCGTTGCAGCCTTTGGTCAGCGTGCCCAGGTAGCTGATCAGTCCAACATCGTTACACTGCGTGTAAAATTCCTCTTGGAAGGCGGGCACCTGCATTACGGGTAGTCTGTGGCACAATGCGTATGCCTCTCGTAGAATTTCCTGGTTGGCACGCAGCTTGCCGGCCTCTACATCTCTGATGTACTGCAGCACAATCTTGATGCGTGTATTAAGCATCTTGATCGCGCTATCCTGGGCCACCAAATGCTCGGCCACAACGCTTTTTTCGCCGGATTCGTTCGAGGTCATGCGGGCTACATGATCCACCCCTATGCGCTCCGCCTCCTCGGTGGCCAGTGTGTAGGTAAGGGGCACGAACAGCATCGTGGCTTCGCCGTCCACCAGATCGATCAGCGATTCGAAGAGCTTCAGGGGAAGATGGTCTACGCTGCGGGAGAGCGGATTAAGCTGCAGCATTATAGGACACTCGTTGATGGCGGCTATTTGTTTCTGGATCTTAATGTCATCGGCAGTGGGATTCTCGCCAGTTGTGTACCAGCCTATGAAATCGAGATCGCTGAATACCTAGGGGAAATAGATATTTATACAGTAAAGGAGGAAGCGCAAATCATTGTGAACTCACCTGCTTGTACTGCTGCTCCTTCTTGTTGTAGTAATCCTTGTTGATCACAGTTTCCTGTTCAATAACATCCGTCTTAAGCTCGAATGAGTTCATAATCTCAATGTTACGGCCCTTCTGCTTGCCAATTAGAGCTCCATACACCTGTCGCGGCTCTCCGTGCTGCGCACGGAATCGAGTCCAGTGCTCTGAAATATTCATAATGACCAGAGGATGCAGTGAAATGGTCACCGACCCGCTGATGCCAGCCGCAGCCATTATGTTTCCCTGGGGTTGTGGATTTTGCTCGGAAGTCGGTTCCTGTGGTTGGTTGGTCCCGCCGTAGGCGGATGAGGTGCTAGGCTTCGCCGACATATCAACATCGACTTCCATTTGCTCCATTCTGTCAGTGGGGGCTTTAGCTGGTCGTAGTGTGCGGTAAAAAGCAGAGTTAAATTCTTTTTGTTTGACAAGCTCCGGCCTGTCCCCTTGCTTTTAGTGTGACAGCGTCTTTGTAAATAAAAATATACCAAGTCTGGTAAATAGATGAATCGGAGACACAAACCTTGCTCATATGATGCATACTGTGTAAAGTCCCAATAAGAAAATCTATGTTTCTCCGCTGATAAGAATATTTCCTTGTCGGCGTTGCCAAGTTGTTGAAAATAAAACGATGAATCATTTTAAATTATAAATTTATTTTCCTGATTTTTTATTTTCAATTTTTTACTATAAAGAAGAGACTATCGTAATTATAGCGAGATAAAAAGTAATAGATGTAAATATATATTACAAATTACTGGCAAAAATGATTTTTTTTTAATGTTTTCTGATCTTCAATTTAAAACGAAAAAACAAAACAAAATCCTCAAAAAAACTCATCGATTCCGGTATTTCTGATTTTGATATTCTATTGTCAGTGCTTCAGAATTATTGATCTCTTCCGCAACGATGACCCTGCCATTTCACAGCTCTGTTTTCATGCTGTGAATTCAGAACAAATAGAAACCCACTTGGTTGGTTTTTGTGTTTTATTATATTTATCTTTTCTTCGTTTTTATTTGTCTTCGCTTTTAATTTCGTGCTCGCCGTATTTGTTCGTGCGAATATTGTAAGTTAGACTAGTTGGCTTAGGACTACAAATATTTAACATTAACATTTAACAGGCTATTTACAAAATCGTCTATACACAATTACAATAATCACTTAGCCTAAGGGAATTTAAAACTAAACGCGCTTCGTTCGTGAGGTTCTAGAATTAGGCGACTTACACATTAGGCAGATCTCGAAAATTGACCCAGTTTGTTGTACGGTTCTACACATGCGAATGCAGCCACAGATGGCGAGAATGCGAAGCGAAGCAATCAAGCGAAGCTAGCGAGGGACTCTCGAATGGTTTCATTCAATCAAATTATAATTGAAATTGCGCATACGCCCCGTATTCGATCATTGGCAGGCGGACTTCCCTACTTCCTCTCTTTCTCTCTCTCTCTCTCTTTCTCTGTGTGTATGTGTGTGCACGCCCGTGTATTTATGGCTCTTAAGCTTAGCTTAGCGTTAGTTGAAACCTTTGTACCAAAACTACTTCCGTTCCGTCCGTTGCCATCACCAATCTGATCCGTTTATGCAAAATTTGTTTTCCCCTTCGGGCAATCCCTGGAAGTACTTTTCGTCTACATTTGACTGATTTCGATTTCGAATTAGTTGGCTTTCAGCTTTTGCGCCAGCATCGCCATGTTATTGTTGTTGTCCGCCTTGCAGGGCGTGGCAGGCAGTTGCTGTTGCTGCTGCTGCTGTAGTTGCTGCTGCGCCGCCTTGGACTTCCTGTAGCTCTGCATGTAAAAGTTCATGAAGAGGCAGAAGAAAATGGATGCATTCAGCAGGAGCAGCGCTGAGATGAACTTGGAGAACTGGCACTGGTTGCTGAAGAGTGCACGGAGGGTGTGGAAGATGCACAGCACGAATTGGGCCTGGATGGTGGGAAAGTATTAAGAAAGTAGTAAGAATTAATATATTTAAAAATACAAAATTAAAAGTTAAGTTTCAGATATATCAAATTTATAGTATCCCTTCACCCTAGCAAACCTTGAAATTCATTCTATGGACCAGTTATAGGAACTCTGGATAAGGTTACCAAAGTGAACCTCGTATCTTAATCGCTGATGTAATATTAATATTGGGTTTAAATAGATTAGCATTGTCATAGTTAATCATACAAATTAAGTGGTCGTGGGAATCGTATGGCAACTAGAGTTGTTACGCCTGAATTCTGAGAAAGTTCCGAAGAGAGCACACGCCCCCTTTCCATCGAGAGGTCATAATCAAAGCTCAACTTGACCCACCTCTTTCTGGTCATTGACGCTGTCGAAGGGCAGATAGCTTGTTTCGTTACGGAAGTTGTAACGTCATCCAATTAGCCAAGTCGCTTACTGCCGAGTCATAAACATCAGTAGTGTTTTTTTTTTTTTTTTTTTGCAGCCCGGGTTACAGCTCTTTGAATGCGGCTAATAAAACGGCTGGCAGTGGAGCACCCTTGAGCTGGGCGGGCAATCAAAAAGCACTCAGTGCGGCCACAATGTGCGCACATTGATTGGATTTAGCCGTAGTGTTAGTCAGTACTACTGATATGCCGCTATTAACTAGCCGTGATTCTAGTGGCTATGTTTAGCCAAGTCCAACAAGCTGGCTCTCGATTGGCCTTTTTGATGACCCCTTGGCGCGTGTTTCATAAAACCTATATTTAACTCTGGTGTTTGATCTTGTTCGATCATAAGATATTCTGTTGGCACCCACTCCCACGATGTTCAAGAATGATTATTAAGATTATAGCTTGTTAGACACACTTCAAAATCAAAGAATGTCAATTGGTTTGCATTTCGGATTTAGAATTCTAGTTACGTTTAATGAAGAACGGCCAAGTGAGGCTAAAGAATTTGTAATATGCCTAAAACACAGGTGGAAATCAAACAGAACGAAATCAAGAATGTCAGTTGTTTTTTTGTTTAAAAAAGAATTCCATTAAAATTGATGCTGAACAAAAAGCAATCGAGTTTCGATGAAAATGCAATTATGGTTATTACCCCATCTTAAGAAGTGTCCAAGGGTATTCCATCTTTAGACTAACTAACCTTCTTATCTTATTTATTAATAGCTATTATCTCTTTTAACATTTTTTCCTGTGCAGTTATCTCGGCAGTGTGCAGTTTTTCGGTGACCTACAAAATATTACGCTGGCCAGCCAAGCGCTGCAGGTTTCCATTACCAACTGCAGCAACAACTGTTGGCCAAGATGGCAACTGCAACTGCTGGCCAAGTTTGCGTCTTGCGGCCCGTTGAAAGCCAACGTCGACGCTTAAATGCTTCATTGCACGAGGCACGAGCACCGTGGGCCACAAAAATGATTGATGGAAATGGGGCAATATCTGAAATGGATTTTATGGGAACTTCGACAGAGCCAATGGTCAGTTTCCTTATAAACGTTGCCATTATTGAGTGTGAACTGCCTTAGGAGGAAATAATCTTAAAATTGTTTGTAAAGAGCTTCTTTGTTGAGCTCACATGATGCATGCAAAGATTAGAGCGCAACCGCAGTAGCCTCCTCCATAAATTGTTTGTAATTAAATGCTAAATTATTTTTGCACGTTTTACTTAAGAGTTTTGACCTCGGCGCTTGCTGGTGGTTTGTGCCGGATTTGCTTTGATTAATCTAGGACTTTGAAAGTTCCTCAAGTACTCGAATAACGGAAATAACTTTTGTTTTTATTTCTTGCTCTCGTTTAAAGCAATCATCAAATTAGCTGATTAGATATTTAAAAAGTTAAATATCTTAAAAGTTGATGACCTTTCGATATGGCCATTGATTTTCATACTGAACCTTTGCTCATTGGGCCATAAATCTAACTTATTTGCCCAAATGTTTACTGTCATCTGAAGTTTGTAAGGCCATCTGGACAAGCCCCTTTCTAACACGTTTTGGCAATGTCTTTGGACGGGTTTTAGGTTTATGTTACAATGTGGGCTTAAATATTTTCCATTATAGCCGCTGTGACCTTTGCAATCTATTATTTGGATTTAAGAATATATTTCCATTAAAATCTATTAAACATAAATAATCATTGCCTCATTTTTATAAAGTTTTGTTCTATTTCCTTACTCACTAGAAACTATCCATATTGACCCACTGTTCCTGCACAATTACTATTGCGCAATCTTGCCATAGATCATTGAACGTGAGTGTGCGTGTGCCGGTAACAAGCAAACAACAATAACAAAAAACAAAAACAAAAGCCAGTTGCACTTGCAACATGACTGATCTGAACTGGCGTCTTGGATCGCCGCACCGGCAATTGAAAGTGGCAGATCGCTTGTTGACTTTTACCCAGACACGGCGTGCCAAATTGCATGAGTAGTCTGCCCAGTGGTCGCCATCGACTGGCTGGCTGGCTACCTGCCAGAAACGACCCGGTTGGAATATGTTGGCAATAGCCGACATAGACACTCACCCGATTGGTGTGGCAAGTTCGTCTCGCGGTGCTGGACAAAAGTGAACGCTACCGCTCGACATTCATTGCCGCAAAACGGAACGAACACGAAATGATAATGTAATCGAAACTGGTCGGATCGGTTGTATCGGTCCGTTGGTAGTTGGTGCCGCAAATGTGCAAACTCTTGGTGGAATTGGAATTGGCCTACCTCGTCGAGTTTGCGGGGATGTTATGTTGCAACAAAACGCGGTCGGAGCTAGCCAAAAAAAGTTGCAAACAACAATCGGCAAATCGGAACTTAACTTCAACTTGGGTCTGGCTTTCATAGCTCAAATGTGGAGCATGCGATGTATGGTCAGGCATTTTGTGGCTAATTGGCCGACAGGAACGGAACAAAAAGAATCCAAACGTGTTGCGCAGGCAATTGGCAACACTTATTTGTTAAGGCAGCTAGAATCACAACGACTGACTCTTGACAGGCAAATTATCTGTAAGATGCGCTCGCCTACTCATTAAAAATGTCAGTGCAGCGCAGCGATGTGCACATTAAGAAATTAGGAGTTGCATTTCTATTCAAATTCAGGGAAGTAAAGTATCTTGACCTCAAACCTGATTTTAGATACATTAAAAGTCGCATTCCTAATTTGTACCTCACAGATTGAGAACTAAATAAAATATAATCTAAAACATAAACTTGTAATACTTTTTTCTCCGTGTAGCGCCCAGCGAAAAGCAATTGGAAAAACATCAAGAAAACTGCACTACGACAATAATAAAAACAGCAATCAAAATGAGCATTCTATTGCCTACATATGCAAAGATCTCTCAGATGCATAAAACGGGCACAGTGAGCACTCCCTTTCGGCGACCGCTCGATGGAAACGAGAATCTACTTTATTTGCGTAATATGAAATAAAATATTCTGCAATTTCAATAAAGGGTTCTCAAGTCATAAATATTTTAATTACCGCCATGAAAACACATGACATTTTCCCGACTGAAAAACACACTAATTGGTTTTAATTGTTAAGTTAAGAGTGCTTATATTTGACTGGAAAACTTGTTGAACTTTTCTAAGATTGTAGGGTGTAAGATAATTTTTAAAAATATATTATTGGATCTTCTAAGGTATCCCCACTGCTTGCCTCCTCCTCCTGCCCAATTGTCTTGATAAAACTCAAAATAAAACCTGTGCTTGCTACTTAAGTTAGTCACCGAACGTTTGTCAACTCAACTGTGGAGCAGAGCTTCAAGGCGAATCACTAACTAGTGGCTACGGCAATAACAACTACAGCATTGAATCTCGATTCGAAGGAGGCCAGTCACAGCAGAACAAACTAAACTTGCCATATTTTCATGCGTTTCAAGAATTTCGAAACTTTTGAAAAACTAGAAATAAATAGTAGAAAAAACTGAAATGCATTGGAACTTATTTACCGGCTGTTGTTGGGTCTTTCAATTATGCGTAGCCACATACAAAAAACCCAAGACTGGTCAGCAAGAACCGTTCAAGTGTAGCCACTACAATCTAATACAATACCAAATTGGCAGCATAGAAATCGGATGGGAAAAACCAGAAACCAAACGAGAAATCTAGATCACGCGATTGGCGACAATCTCTGGATTCGTTTCGGTTTCATTATACTTTTGCTTTCTGATCTCGATGTTGTGTAATCTCTCAGAATGTACGATCGATGCCCCAGAGATTGGCCTTTGGCCCCAAAAAATCTTTTTGGCCATAAGTTAAGCACAACGGCAAACAAACTTACTGGCGGAGGCCGAATCTCTGTTTCGTTGTAGTGGCATTTCGGCATTTTTAGACAAATGCAAGACACAGTTAGTTAGAAGCATTGGCCAACATTTTATTTTGGCTATATAAACACGGATAGCAAGCAACTGGTATCCGCGGATGGTGCGCTGGTGTGCGTGCCTTTGGGCCCATTGAATAATGCCAATTTATGTGGCAGAGGCTGGCCAAGTCTAAGACTAACTCTGAGGCACGACTGCCGGTCTAACTGGTTTGCATTTTAAGATTTTGTGGATTTTTTGGCGGCGTCTTGGCCAAATTAGCCTGGCAATTGCTGGCCAAACAGCGACTAACTTCGATCTATGTCCGAATAAAAAACCAAAATATATTTCACACATGCCAGTGCAGACTTCTGAACAAGTTTCGTTTGATTTCTGGTCGGTATCTGGGCTGGAACTGATTCCATTTTAATGAGCCGCCCCTCCCCCTTGGGTCGGTACTTACGATCTGCAGCTCGGTCATGTATTTCTTCCACCACAGGAACTTGGCGTACTCTGGTCCCATGGCGGCCATCATGTAGTAGAAGTACATGCACACGTGCACGAAGTTGTTCAGCAGATTCGGGAATGTGGCATTTCCACCTGTAAGAGTAAGATGATGAATAAGTGAGCTTGAGTTGGAAATTAGTAGGAGGAATATTCTATTACACCTTGCCATGGCTTAAACTTATTTCAACATATTGATAACTAACCTGCGAGGAACTTGACGAGCACCCAGGTCTCCAGAGGCGTGACCGAGTGATGGTACACATGCAGCCAGGTGATCTGGGAGGACTTCTTGCGGAGCACAAAGAACATGGTGTCGGCAAACTCGGTCAGCTTGGACAGGTAGTACAGGTAACACAGGTTGAGCATCTACAGAAAGGGGGGTGGAGATGGTAAAAGAGTGGTGTATCAGTGCGGTTGACCTAGCAAGGTCGTTATGCAATTCGCGCCCACCGAGCAACGTGCCCAATTAGCGTAGAAACCGCCGAAGAACTTGCGCAATGACATTGACAAAGTTTTCGTTCCGCAGCGTTTCGTTTCGGAATACCCCAACACTTTTATTTTCTTTATTTTTTTAAGCAAGAATTATGCTTGCTTGTAAGTGAAACGCCGGGGAGCACGCTGCGTATGCGCGATGTAAACAATGCTGACTTTTATGACTCCGCTAAGGCGCCGTGGACCTATGGAAATGACCATAAAACTAGATGACGAACGCTAATGACACAAGGGTCCAACGGAGTTTATTGACTTGTCTTTTGGGCTTGGTTGGTTTTATTTTTCTTTTTCATATTTTTTTCGGACTTTTTAGCGTTTGTTGCGGATGTGAAATCGATCAATGAATGTGTAGGAAAAGGTCCGGTTAGTGTGGTCAGCGGTTTTCACAGAATTTATGCTCTATTGATTTAAAAGTCAAACAGACCAAAAGTACTATTCAAATTGCAAACAAACGGCGGAACAAACCGAACTGTTTAGACCCGCTTTAAATGTTGTTAATTTGATTGTAACATAGGCAATGGTCAACAGCCTTGAGGGTGTGGCTGTCTCTAATATTTTCCAACTGGTAATGCTAGAGGCTCTAAGATATTGCTGTGCTTATACTCTTTATAGAGTCTTAAATTGAATTAGCACAATGACAAAGAAATACCAATGAAGTATGCGATTATTTGGAGCTTAAATCTTTGCTCTGAAGTTTGTTTTGGTAGAAATATTAGCAGAGAAAAAGGAATGTTAAATCTTATTTAAAAAATACTTAGAGTATTAAGCAATCGCCTTCCCATTCAGTTCTGCCTTTGCTGCTGTTACAATTTTACGAACATTTAAATGCCTCATTTGTGGCTCACAAACAAATTGGCATAAAATTATGCATTTAAGTTTAAACTCCAATTACACAATTATTTATGTAATTGTTAATGCTGAGTAGTAGCCTGGGAAAGGGGGAAGACAATCGATGGAGAGGCGTAACAAATGGCAGCTCGAAAAGCCATTAGATGTAGAATTTGGATTAAGAAGCTGACCATTTAATTGCCCTGCCCATTAGATTTGAATGTGAACTTTGTGCCATCGCAGGGGCATAATTAAAAACAATTTTTTGTAGTTGCTTTCGTATATATCTAAGCTATGACTGGTCAAAAAAGTGGCTTTGAGTTGAACTTTACGGGCCAACTAAATGGCTCTTGAGTCTGGCGGAGTTAATGAGTCATCAAAAAAGTTAAAAAAACAGAGGCAACGAACTTGCTAGCCAACAGCGGAAGATGAAACCGGCAAGGTGAGGCCAAAACAAAGAGCAACCAACAAACCAACCGGCCAAATGACAAATGCCAAATTATATAATAAAGACCAAAGACTCCTTAAGTCCACGCGTGCCTCTCGAAATAGAAATTTTTGATTGGAGATGAGCGAGTTCGATCAGACAGCGAATTAGATTTAGAATTGGAATGACCGGTTGTTATATCCACTTACCCGCTTTGAACTGGGACTATCGGAGTAGTCAACCGGTTGGCACTTCAGATTATAATAGTTCAGCCAGCCGGCCATTAGATGCTATTCGGGAGAAACCGGAAAGGAAAAGCCATTAGATGGACGATCGTTATGCTAATTTCCAATTCTGAACTCACCTCGTAAAACATATAGCCGCTAAGGGCCACTTGGAAGGCATTATAGATGACCAGGGTGCGGCGTAACTGGAAGGGTTTACGATCGCGCATAAATAGTGGTCCTATTATCAAAACCCAGGACAAGTAGATGGCCACCATGCCAAAGGTAAACATCGGATGCTCCATCAAGGGGAAGCGCGTTGCACGCGGATCTGCAAAAAATTTAGTCACATCTCATATTAATTTAATGGCTGCAATTTCGTTTTTAATTCATTTTGTTGTAGGTTTTTGCCTATGCTAATGCAGAGACGACTCGAAACAGCTTCGATTTGCATTTCATTAGCTTAAAGCACTTCGCCGATGCCAGCTGAATGAAATCGTGGCTAAATATAAAGTCAACTTGTCACTTGCAGCGTTTAAAGTGTCAGCACAATCGCCACTACACTGAGCAATAATTGTAAAATATGTGAGGCTGGCATGCAGCTAAGAGAACTATTCCACTTCTTAATAAACATCGACGTCATTACTTGGCAATCTGAAGGAACCCCCAGGAATGATATGGAAATTAATTGCAGGTAGCTTTGCATTTGTGAGCGTACCAACTTTTCCATTTGTTGTTTACAACTGTAATCGACTTAAGGCTTTGTTATGATTTATTTTCCAGTTCAATAGTGTTTTTAATAAATTGTTGTTTACTGAAAGTATTCCATTGGCAGCTTGGAATCATTTTTTCTGCCGGGAATTCTTGACCTGTTGCACTGAACAGTCTATTATGGTCGTAGCTCTACCACCAGTCACCTGTAAGCCCATAACTAGGTTTAGTTGAACTAGTTAGAATATTATCTTAAGTTCTTAAGTTAAAAACATTTTTAATTTGCTATAGCTTTCTATGAAATTAATTAGGATAATCAACGAAAAATGTTCTGCCATTTTAAAGTTCGTTTCCTAAGTCTTTCGTTTGCAGACCAGTTTTTTGACTTTCTTAAAGTTTTTGTTCTTAGACTTTTGTTTACATCCTAAACCTCTAAATTTTTTTGCTTCGTAAGCATGATTTTGGCAAAACGTACTCGCCTTCAGCTCATGTTTAGCATCGCCAAACCATAAAACGAAACCAAAAAAAAAACACTATTTGCACTGCTTTTAATTGCATCTGCTTGCCATTGACCTTTCACCGGTGACTTTTCTCATTGCCAGGAATGTGAATATGGGGCACAGTCAACAGGTGCCTATGGAAAACGGAACACAAGACCAGGCCCTCGTGGCAATTGGCATGTTCGAAGTGCTCCGGCTGCTATTGTAGTTAATAAATACATGCTCAGCTGCACACGGCGAAACCAAAGTCGTCGATGTCGACGGTCGCTTCATAAAAATGTCTAAGATAAGCAATGTAAATACATTTTAATTACGTTAATAATTGTCAAAAATACAATTGACACTGCCAAGGTCGCCATTTAATACGCACACACACACTCACACACACCGACACCACACACAAGAAACCTTTTTTTTTAATTGTCCTAGAAGTATTTTGACTGAGCTTTTGGCTTTGTCTGTTAACTTTATTTTCTTCTCTTTTATTTTTTTCGGTTATTGTCTTATTTTTTTTTCTGCTTTCTGTATTCATTTTGTTTGGCATTTACGTTTTTGTGCTGTTACGATTTGCAAGCCATAAAAAATGACAATTTCATGGCAATTCGTCATTTTTATGGATTTATAATTTAGTCGACTGATGCACCATATAGTGCTGGCCACCTACCGCCGTAATCCTCTTCCACCAATTGGTAATAGCGCTGCACTAGGCCCGTGTAGTTTCTGGTTATGTGATGGGTCTTGAACTCATCCAGCGCAATATTGGCTATCTCCACGACCATGTCGAAGCGCGAGCTGCTGTTGTAGTTATGGTAGTTCATGCTCATGATGATGGTTTTCAGTTCTAAATCCTTGGTTTTATTTGAGACTTGAAGAATCCAAAAAACTGCAGATGCTTTACAGTGTTCTACTGAGTTGTTGTCAGAGGCTGGCCGCAGGATTTAGCATGCTGCGCTCAAGCCTTATATAAAAAATCACTTTATAATCCTCTATCGTTGGTTTTTAACGCACGCTCAGAAAAATCACTTTTTTGTTTGTTGATGAATATTATTGGTCAATTTGAATATCGAATGTATATAGATCCGCGCAGATCTGCCTGGATTCTACCACCACACCGTAGGAATGTTTATGCTCAACTGAATCTAAAACTTCTCAGCAATCACAAGATAAAGTAACTTTTTCGCAGCGCCAGCGGAGCAGAGCAGCGGCAGAAACGCGAGCAGAGACTGAGCGGCAGCGATCACGACGCTTGTGCAAAAAAAAAAAACCAAATACTTGCCAGCCACACTACAGATATCAAAAATATATATATATATAGTAAAGCAACGACTTCGGCAAACTTAACGAGCCCCGAATAAAACCATAGAACAACGGAAGTTTCGTTCAGTCAGCGCCGCACTGCATGCAATTTTTTACTCTGTCTGTGTTGGCTGGCCTCTGTGTGTGTGTGTGTATGCGAGTGCTTGGCCCACTGAGTCGTTTTCTAGTTTTTTCGATTTTTTAGCATGTTCCGTTTGGCATTCAACATTCAGCATTCAAAGCTAATGATAATGCCGCTGCCGGTGGCTTGATTCACAGGGTGAATTCGGCATTTTATAGGTCAATGCACTGAGATATGTTTAAATGAACTCTTTAGTGTTTGAGAATGTCTGCAAAACTCTTATTTAATTAACAGAATATCTTGATTTACTTAAGTAGCTGTTTTAGCTTGGAAAGGTAAAATGCATATTAAGTTTGCTAATTAAGGAAAATATGAAAATAAGTTAGTAAAAGTAGTTAAAAAGCAATAATTAATCAAGAATTAATACAACTCAAGACTGTTAAAGTAGATTTTAAAATTTAAATTTAAATTTTCATTTTCAATTCCAAACTTAAAAACAACTCAAAGAAACGTATAGCTTTCTTTCATAAAAACTAAAATCATAACTTTATTTAAACTAGAAAGTAAATATAAAGCTAAAAGTAAATAAATTTCAAATTAAATTCAAGATAATGAAGTAGTAAAAAAGGTGTTTATTTAAGTGGACTACAATCATTAAACATATGTTAAACATTTAAAATAAATTTATTCATACAATAAATACATTTTCAATGGAAATCTTTAGAAGTAAAACTTTATTATTTTTCAATGACTTAAGCACAAGGTTCTTAGTTTAATCATTTGTAATTGATTTTTTATAGTTGAAGCAATCCCTTAAATGCAAAAGTGGCCATAAAAGTTAATACTTAATTGATATGGCAGTTTCAAATTCCAACTACTAAAATAAACGAGTCAGACAAATGAATTAATTAATTAATAACAGAATAGTAAACCTTTTCATGGGGAACCCCGTCTCCCATTACACCCTAAGGCCCCTCTAGAAAATAAACTTCGCAAAAAGTTTGTAATTCACATACTTTTGTTTTTATTTTCATTTTCATTTTCTAAGGAGTCAAACGAGTTGTCCACCAGCAGCCGCCAAGCACGTACAATTAAAACAAGTTTTTAATGGGATCTTTAATGCGAATTTGTGCCTTAGTTTGTGACATCAAAATAAGTTAAAGGCTTGAGCTAGGTTGATTCCTGGACTTCCGGCTTGTCTTCGGGTGACCTCAGGTGATGTTTATTTTCAGAACAGAGAGAGAGAGAGAGACCGAGAGTGTTTTTGTAAATCCCATTCATGCTCATAAGCAGAATAACCTGTTCTAATCGTCTATTTCGGCCCTGGAGGTGTTGATTCTGGGCTAGCTTGATATGCTAAATAAATTCTCGGGTTCATCAGCATCACTAATCCAGAAGGGTTTAAACTTGGTAAACGTGTCATCATCAGATGGCCTTAGATCCATAATCAATTTGTAGTAGTTACCTGTAGAAGTCCATGTTTGTGGGCCATTAAATTGCGTAAAGTATCGGACGTGCAGTCAAACCTTCATCGAGGCCTTTATGCGGGTATCTTAGCCGTAATTATGCCATTCAGTTCCATACCAAAGAACCATTTACATTTTGTGACAAATTAACGCCAACTAAATTGTTCTTTGAAGTTCAGCCCGGCCGGTTCGACCTTTGTGTTGATTATTTTGGCCATGTTTGGGGCCATAGACGAAAAACCGAAATCCAAAAAGTCAAAAATGCCGGCAAGGATGACGTTCGGCTACTGTTGGTACTGCTAACGGTTGAATGCGGATTGGCCACGCTCTTAACTTTTCGTTTTCACCGGCTCCTACAAAAACGTGGATGAGCTTGGTAACAGACTAGCTGCATGGTATTTCACGGCCTAGGTCTAGGTTAATCGGAAGTCAAAAGAAGTCAAAAGAAGGCAACGACGCCGCCAGCCAACCGGACCAAGATTTTCGATGATAAATGTATGCTTTGATAGCTCCAGTTTTGTTGTGATTTTTGTGCGTCGTTTTTGCCAAATTTCCGTTTCATCAATGTGAGATTTTTTTGCCATTGGCGAAACAACTTTGACTTCATCTCATAATCAATATGTTTTGTATATGTTCATTATGGCAGAATGCTAAATGTTTGTCGCTTATTATTCGCCTGATTAATGGCCCTGGTGTTGACAAGAATTCAATATTTCAGCCGTAAAGTTTCATCTACAAGTTGATAAAGTGATTATTAAAATTTTTCAATTTTCCTTGATTTATTTTGTAATGGATTTTTAATTTTGTTGGCTTTTTGCTAAATTTTTCTGGCACTGAAATTCTGATTTACTTTTCTAGTTTTTCTTAAAATAAAAAAACCTAAAAGTTACTTAATATTTTGTTCCTTCTAACAAATAGTTAGCAAGTTGTTATATATTTTTCCCTAAGCCATCAAGTTATATATATAATAACATAATATTTACAGTATCTTTTAGCAAATCTATTGCCGAGCAAATTCCAGTGGCGTAACAATAGCCTGCCCAAAGAATGAGAATGCAGAAATTTTAATTAGCGAGTGTACGTAGCCAATAATTAACAATCATAAATTAATTAGCACTGAATAGAGTAAGGTGTGGGTGTTAACGCGTCAGATCATGGGCGTTTTTTGGAGCGTTTTAGCACGCTTTGTGGCTTTAGGTTAACCAATTGACCGCTGACCGCAAGCGTTTTCTAATTGATAACGGAATATTTTCGAAAGGCTGGACGGGTAGGTCAGCCCCCTGATTATCAAAGTTGTAAACAGAAATTACCAATTAAACTGTTACAGCCGCTGGTTAAGGCTTTTCATTAAAGTAAAGCATTTTAAGTTTCGCAATCACTGCTATTCGATTGCTAAATGTTTCATGACAACTTCGTCTGCTGTGCGGTGGTTTATCTGCAGATCTGGCCATATACTATATATATATATATTTTAGTACTTAGTCTTAATTGCGTTGCAATTTGGTGCAGAAAAGCGAGCACGCCCTGACCTTGCCACGACTCGAAAAAGAGACAAGAGTTTAATTTAAGCACTTAAACATATTTATATCACATGTACAGATGATTTGGCCATTCGGAATTGGAATTTCAAGCTCAATATCCACTCGAATTTTCGTGGTTAAGACTTTTGCCAAACGCACACATCACTTTTGGCCCTAATTGAATGGGTAAACCCAGAAGATGCCTGGACAGATTCAGATTGGGTAATGGCCAAAGAGAATTGCTAGAGCCGAGAAGATGGCACGTTCGATGGTCACGCTCGCTAATGTGATCATGGGCAGGGAAATTATATATTTATGGGGTATTATTTATCAAGTAACTATGTCGTATATAATATTACTCAAATTAAAATCATTATTAAAATTATTATTGCCATTTTTAAAAGGTTTTTAAGATAATTATAATAATGTTATTAAGCTGGTTTTTAATATGGTAAAGGGATATGAAACTTTAAGAGGTAAACTAAGTAAGGGAGTAATAATAAGAATAGTTCATAAAATAGAGAGTTTTGTAAATGGTTCATAACTTCTTGATAAACCTTTCTTTATTCTTTATTACAGAATGTGCAAAACCAGAAAAACCCCCTTTGGACCCACCACTGATCTTGCCTAACTAAGATTAGAGGCCGAGTTTGGCTAAGACTGTTAATCAATTGGTCAAACGTGTGCGTTTCTGGTCAGTTACAGCCAAACAAACCCAGTCAATGAAGAAGATGCTCCCAGTTTCTTAACCAAAACACATACAGAGCCAGAAATGTAAGCTCAACCCATAAGTTAGTGTTTTATTTTCTGGTTTATGAGCCAAGACGGCGGTAAGGTTCTTGGCAACAAACAAGTCGCTGACTTGAACTTGAAAACTTTGCGATACATAATCGTTTTTTTTTCGTGAATATAATTAAGAGCGGGTTGATCCAAGAATAGATCCCTCGTCACTCAATTAGCAATTAAAAGTTTACTTTGAACTTGACACAGTTGTTAAGAGCGCGCGCGCAAAAATAAATATATAAAAAATAAAAAATCACAGACGGCGAATTTTCGAAAGCTGGCAGAAAATATCAAGACTAGAATTTATAATTATGCATTTAAATGAAAACCGCTTTGCGCCAACGAATCTATTAAGCTTCTTAGGCATTTTCTGCTTCACCGTCAATCGTCGATCGATCAGGAAACGGAAGTGCGATTTCTTTTTCTCCACAAATTAATCTTTTTGTTTTTCTCTCGATTTATCGAACTCGAAACGGGTTCCTCCCAAGGGCAAGCCAACGGTAGTTGGTAGTTGATAGTTGGCCAGCTACGACTCCAAAAAATTCGATTGATCTGAGCTGGAGATGGAGATTTCGTGAGATAGATCTAAAAAATGTATATATATCTATAACGCTACGTTCCGGCATTTCCGCGCTGGCAAACAAGTTCGATTTGCGCAATTAACTTGGTAACAAGCCACTTTGGATGAGTGGCCATAGAGCATCGACCCTGTTACAGCCCAATCGGTGTCGACCTGTCATGTAATCCGTTAATTGGAACAGCTCATTTAACCATTGTTTATCTAAGTGGCTTCTCTTTTAATAATATGCCTTTTTCGGGGTAAACACGAAGATTAGTTTTCGGTTTAGGCTTTGATTAAGTCGCGTGAATGCGAATATTTTCTAAGGAATTTTTGTAGGAAGAGAAATTGTTGGAAAATCATTAATAAGGTCTCTTAAAAACTTAATATGTTTTATATTATAACTTAAAAAAAGTACTTGTTGAGTATAAAGATATGCTTAGTAAATACCACAGTCACCAAAACCCTGTACTTTTGACATTTATGATGATTTCAAAAATCGTCTTTGATCTACTATTTTCTGGCCTTGTTTTCAGCTGGGGAATCCCTGAAGTATTTAAATTATTTATTATTACTACTTCTTTAAAAGCTATTACGATTAATATTAATAAATATTAACTATTTAGACCAAATTCCTAATAAATAAATCCTTTTAACAAACTTTAAAGTTTAGGGACTTTAAAACAATAATAAAAACCTAAAAATAAATACAAATAAGCTAGTTTTTTCTCAAGAAAATCTTTGAAATATTCAAATTCCTTTTTAAAGTTTATTTCAAAATTTAAATCTCAACGGGTACAAATTTGAACCAATCTTTTTTGAATAAACTGGCAATTTATCGCCGATCATAAGCTTTTTAGGCTAAGCTTTGAAACTCGAAATCCAGATGCCGCCAGCAGCGTGTGAAAAAGCCCAGCTCAGAGACTCAAGCCGGCAAGCCCCAAACAACTTTAATGCGGCCAATTAAACATTTAAGAGCCTCATTTGCAATTGCTGTTAACAATGTTACGACTAAGAAAAAGCTATAGGAAGGGAAATAAAATGTGTTTTAATAGATTGGCTTTACTAATCGGAAGTCGATTCTTGCTTTGGCACCCTTGGATATAGAAAAATCACAATTATTGATAATGTTTTGTCCCATCACCAATTAAGAATTCTACAAGCCAAAGACTTTTTGCACATTTGATTTTTGCTCTTGTCACTGTTTTTTTTGTTGTCTGTTTTATCTACGCAATTTGGCATGAAAAAATACAAAAAAAATTCAATAATAATTGTTTAACGGTTTGTTGGCCAGTTCGGCGTTTGGCGTTTGGCTGTTGGCTAAATGTAAATGTTTGCGGAAGATATTTGCATAACTGGCAGTTCACCCCTCATATATCTATATACATATATATCGATCGCATGAATCGTCTGCAGCGACAGCGATAATAAACTAACGTCTTTTGCATACCATTATGATCGGCTATATGACTGGTGGACAAACAAACAAAAGACGCATGCAAATTGTCACAAAAAGATACCGGAAGAACAAGGCAATGGCGATTGCGATGGCGATGGCTAACGTCGACGCACACGGCGTATGATTGATTCCTGGCAATCGAAGGGATTCACCCACCAAGCCGACCCGCTGGTCGACATTCACCCACATTCACATGCATTCGAATCGGATTCGAACTGGTTTAAGTCTACGCATAATGCTAATCGGCAAGTTCAAGTTCAATTCGCCGGTGACACAGTTAACTGTGACCCCAGCCTCAGCCTCTGTTTTTTCGGTTTCAGACATGGTTTGGAGTCTTGGCCAAAAGTTTTGGTTTTTGTATCGGTTTCATTAGCCTATTGCTGCTGTCTTGACCCGGAAGTGGGCCATAGTCGATACGCTGTGATCTTTGTGGGTCATTAGAATCGATGGCCCAGCCCCAGGCCCCAAGAATTTGTATGTAAATTGCCAGGTAAATACGCAGTTTCCTTGACTGAACTCCACGCTTTAAGGCAAACTAGTACTGACTGTAAATCATTCTACTTATTACTGTTAATAGCTATGTTTTAGGCTTGTGTTTTAAATAGTTCTGGAATTGCTTGTGAAACAGTCTAGAGAATTTCGCTGATTCGACCTGAAAAAAGGTCAACGAAATTATTAACCACCTACGCAATTTCGGTTCGGTTCTAAAGTTCTTCATGATGAAGATAAAGCGTGAAAAAGTATTCCAAGTGGGTCAAGGTTGAGCAAGCTGCTTTATTTTTTTTTAATATAGATACAAAAGTAGAATTAACAGAAAGAGAAAACAGAATAGAATGAACTTTTCATTCTGCGGTTATTCAAGACTATTTCTAGGGTTTTTGTTTTGGTTTTTGGCTAATGATGAAAGTGTCTAGGGGAGCTGAGGAATAACTGAGAGAACACTCAATAATGACTTGAAAAGGTTTGAAGGCCAATTAATTGAGAGAAAATGAAAGTATCATTAGGTTCATTTTGTAGAGACTTTACATACTCTAGGGTAATCTTAGAATATTAGTTTTTGTTGTTAAAAACAAACAAATATTTCGATATCTTTATTAATTCATGTCTTCAGAACAGCACAAAATGTTATTTATTTCTTATTTATTTATAATTTTTTTATATTTGTTCTGTGGAGCCACACTTCTACGATTGAATTCCGCATCCTCTTTGTTCTACCGCAATCGCTTTGACCAAATCAATCAAAATTGACAACTATTGAAGAATATTTTATGATTCTTTTAATTGTACAAAAGGCTGCAAAGCCAAATACAAAACCCATTTAAAAGCCAAGCGAATTTGGCCAACAGCAACAAAATGCCGGCTAACACGCATACAATATCAACATTGTCATCGCAATTATCATAGGAAAACGAGACCAGGCGCGATCGTTCGATACATTTGCTTATAACGTATACGAATCGTATCTACACATGCATATCCACAGACACAGTCACATTCACATCATTTTAAGGCACAAAAGAACATCTCGACCAAAGGCAAAAGCTAAAGTCAAAGATGAAGATGAGCAAGATGCCAAATAGCCGAGACAAAAGTTCGGCTAAATACAAAAACTAAAGTTAAAACTGAAAATGAAATAGAAACTGAAACAAAAACAAAAATCTTAAAGCAGCGACGAAGAAACAGCAGCGCCAAATCGAACCTTTAGACGAAATTTTTATACATAGCGCCGTACAACTCGGCGGAGCAGTTCAGTGCGCGTACAAGTCTCGTGGGTAGCGGATGCCAGCAAAGGTCTCTCCCTCACTATCCTATACTATACAATACTATACTAAATTATACTATATGACAGTATATAGTGCCTCATATCAGACTCATTTAAGAAGCGGATGGAACAAGACTAAAAAACAGTTGTCACGGTGTTAACATTAAGCTGTCGTCGTTCAAAAATTAAGTGCACGGCAATCGAAGAGATTGCAACAGGTGCCCAAAGCTCTTCATTTGTGTGTGCGATTGTGTGTGACTATCTATATATATATATGCATATCGGAGTGATCAGTTAGATCAAACATTTGGAGAAGAGGAATTATAGAATTTGTGTCTTGGGATGTCATAAATCGACTTTTAGAGTTCCCAAAAGTGAAGTTTCTTAGATTTTTATTAACAAATCTTCTGATTAAACATTTCTTGATAATCAGATCATAAGTAAAGGAAATATACCTCTGGACATAATTTATTTCGATATCTCAGTTTGAATTTCTCAGATTTGTTTAGATGACATTTAAAATTTCAAGTCTTTCTTTTCCATACCAAACATAGATCCAGGCTTAGAACATTAACCCATTCAGTAGAGAACAAGTGCCTTATAGGGTCAATGAAGATCTCCACCTGTCAAGGTCAATAAACTTTTGCGACATAATTGAATTTGGCAAAACAAAACCGCCTTCGGGTTTTCGGCTTCGAGAGTTGGGCAATAGGTGACACAATTTTCTATTTGCTCGCTCTGGGCGCTGCCAAGGCCCGGCATCTTCGGCCATTTAACAAATGACTAACCAAGTGGAAATGCCACCAAATTGGCTGGCGATGATCAGCCAGACACGACGGCGTCCAAATGATGCGACAGTTCACAATTCCCACCTAAAAATTCCTAACCAACCTATGGCAAGGTCGTGAATCCAACTGAAAATTGATAAACTGGCTTTTCTTGGCCAAAACCAGAGGTGTTTAGCACCTTTTGGCTTATAGCCGCCATCAATTTGTTGGCCCCATTCTGCGCTAACTGTTGCAGGTCTAAAATTCAAATGGTCATAACTGAAGTGCAGGAAATGAGAGTCAGGAAAACCAGAGTCAGAAACCTGTTGATGGCTGATAGCTGGAGTGTTGCTTGGCCAACTGCTTGCCCTTCAAAATATCTCAAAAATTCATTCGTTTATTATTTCAATTTGTTTCTCACTTCGCACACTTCACGTTGGACCAAGAAGAAGTTGATCAGAATAGCCTCGAAAAACGACCAAAGAAATCATAATGCTATTCGATTATTGTTGTCTTAATCGGCCTTTGCCAAGTTCAAGTGCCAGAGTCTTCAAGTCAACGAACGTGATTGTGGATTATTTTAGCATAGCTAGATGCTGTTTGACTCGTTGGCAATCCATATTATAATGGTCCTTCGAAGAGCAAGTTCTTTGGGATGATTAATCACCGGGAGTACTTGACTTGGTGCCCACTTTTCAAAAACCAAACAGCTTCTGTTGAGACTTAAGTGCTGAAAACCAAATGAATAACACAAATATGATTTTCATGGCTTCCAACTGGGTGTGTGCGAGCGGTTTTTATGCGTTCAACACGTGAGGCAGCAACCAATTTACCTGGGCCATGAGGCAACATGGATGGCAAACATCATCATGGGCCAAATATGAGTATGAGGTGGCCACCAATTTGTTGCGGGCTGTTGTGCGCTGCGGTTGTTTAATTCATAATAATGAATATAATTTACTGTTACTGTTACATGATAATTTCACGGCATTTCACGGCATTTCACCGTCACAGTTGCTATTCTCCTTCGCCTTCGCCTTTGATTATTATTTTAATTTTATTTATATTTCTGGGCACGGCAACAGTAAGGCAGATAACTTGAAATAGACAGCTACTACTACCACAGGCATTAGTTGCCCGAGAATGACATTAACATAACTTAAATACAAAAACTCGAAAAGATCTTGTGCTCATCCAGACTCTTTTCCGATCTTCCCCCTATTTCAGATTTCGCAAAACTCGTTCGTTGCGACGCAGGCTTAGCAGATTTTTGAATTTCACATCGAAGCGATCGAATCGATATTAATCGTTTTTTGTGGGAGCAAGAAGGCCATCAAAGAATTCTAAAAATGGCAGCCGTCAACGCAACGCAGGTGGACTATTGGAACTTTCTGTTCACAGATCTGGCAGGTAAGTGTTGGGGATTTTTTCCTCTTTTTATGTTGGGAGTATTACCAACTGATCATCTGGTTTTACCCCATGTAGATCCCCGCACCAATGACTGGTTCCTGATCAAGTCTCCACTGCCCCTTCTGGGCATCCTCGCCTTCTATCTGTTCTTCGTTCTGTCCTGGGGACCCAAGTTTATGAAGGATCGCAAACCTTTCAAACTAGAACGCACCCTGCTTGTCTACAACTTCTTCCAAGTGGTCCTCAGTGTGTGGATGGTCTACGAGGGTGTCGTTATCTGGCAATACTACAGCTGGAGATGCCAGCCAGTGGATTGGTCTCGTACTCCCAAGGCCTATCGTGAGGCACGTGTTGTCTATGTCTACTATCTGGCCAAGATCACTGAGCTGCTGGACACCATCTTCTTTGTTCTGCGCAAGAACGACCGCCAGGTGACCTTCCTGCATGTCTACCATCACACCGTTATGCCCATGATCAGCTGGGGCACCAGCAAGTACTATCCCGGCGGACACGGTACCTTCATCGGCTGGATCAACTCCTTTGTGCACATCATCATGTACTCGTACTACTTCCTCTCCGCCTTCGGACCCCAGATGCAGAAGTACCTGTGGTGGAAGAAGCACATCACCAACCTGCAGATGGTGAGTGCTGTTCAGACTTATTTTTCTACACAAAGAAAGTAGAGAAGTTTAGTTTTTAAGGAGCTAAAAACTAATTTAAAACAGAAAGAAAAGTTTTTCTTATTGAAATGGTATGCATAACTAACACTTAGTAACCCCATGAAAATACCATTTACAGATCCAGTTCTGCTGCGCCTTCATCCACCAGACCCAGCTGCTCTACACGGACTGTGGCTATCCCAGGTGGTCGGTGTGCTTCACCCTGCCCAACGCGGTCTTCTTCTACTTCCTGTTCAACGATTTCTACCAGAAGTCCTACAAGAAGAAGCAGGCAGCTGCCAAGGCAAAGGCTTTGACGGCGGATAACAACAATGATGGATGTGCCAAGGACCTCAACAAGGCCATTGAACTGCAGCAGGAGAAGCAGAAGGCGTTGTAGAAAGTAGGGCCAAAACCACCCACCGCCAACGGCACAGCCATCGCCGACCAACCTCACCCACCCACAATCTCTTCCCCCCTTCAATACTCGTACAAAAAAAAAAGCGGGACAAAACAAAAAATCACCCACTAAGAGCCACCCATGTTCTATGTGCAACCTTGTTGACTAATTTCTTAAGTAATCCGCCGCCAAAAAGACGTTAAGCACGCAAAAACGTAAAGAAAAACAAAAATAAGAATCGAGACGAATATATATATATATTTAGATATATATATATTTGAGCAAATGAGGTTTTCGAGACACAGATACACATATTATGTAAATGTTCAAACAGTTGAAATTGCTTTTTGCAGCCATCGTCATCATCGCTCGCTCCGTTTGATGTTTCGCATCTGGCGGACCAAATGAAAGAAGTCGTATGTCTTTCGGCCAAAAACTGAACTAAGTTAAGTAAACAGGCAGAAGAAGCGTTAGTTGTGTAAATAAGTGTAGGTACGCATGCGAATGTGTTTTCTTTAGATTTTATATACGTGTGGTATGTAAAGTAGGCATATACCATATACAAAAAAACAAAAAACAAACAAGTGAAAAACTAGCTAATAACATAACCATAAATACAAACACATTTTACAAATAAATCTAGATTTTTTTCTACAAAAATATCGAAAAACAAAAAACAATACGAATTATTCTTTGTCTCATGAATGGAAAATGGGCGGAAGTAACATTTTGGAGTTGTGAAGTCACAAACATTCAATCAAGGAAGAAGGTTCTTACTATTTATTGTGTGAAAATAATTAACTGTCTTGTAGAAATCAATTGAAAATATTTAAAAACTAAATCACACTTAGTTAGAGTCTCCTTGCAGACAAATTAATTTAAGACATTCATTTTTAATACAATTTACATCTAGCTGGTTTTAATCATATTGGTACAAAGTACTTTAAAGTTAATTTCTTGATAATTTTGCAAAATATTCCTTTAACTTTACCTATAAACACTCCAATCATAAACACTTTACTTCTAAATATAGTTTTGCTGAACCTAATGACTTAATAAGATCCATTAAAATGAGCAAGTAAATCGTTTGTTGGCCTTGAAGATATTTGCAGACATTTCCTGTAATCATTTTGGGTTCACAAAATGTTTATTTATAGAGTCTTACCATTTTAATAGCATTTGTCTTTCAGATAACATTGGGGAATCTCCCCAGAGAGCAGAAACACCCCATACCATCCTTATCTAACCATTCATGATCTTAGTTAACCTCAAGTAAATCATTCAAGGAAACCTTTTCTCAAGGAACTGACTTAAATCGAAGCACCATTTGATATATAGAGTCGGATCTATTCATTCAGCAGCGGAAGCTGAGAGATTCGTATCACGATCTATGATGATTTAAATATGAATGGGCGTGGCTAGAACAACAGGTCTATGGGGTGATGATGCAGCATGTCCAGTTCATGAATTTTTACGAGGGAACAGAACATGAGAGCCAGCCACTCATTAGAGCTCATTTCGCAGGCACCTTGAATTTCGGCTGGGCGATAAGGTTTTGATAAATTCCACAGACTTTTATTGATCAATCAGTCAAAAACGGAACCGAAGCGGAAGTAACAAAACGCATCTTCGAGTGGGGTTGGGGCCATCCGATGTGCGGATACAGTATATATACAGTTTTCAATAGAGCCGGTTTGGGCACTTGACCTTGATCTTGACCACAAACACGAGAAAACAAAGCAAACCTCTGAGCCAAAAACTCGGTTTTCAATGGGCCCAACCGGAGCTAAGGCATATGCCAATATTATTCCAGTTTTATGGCCTGATCATCATAGATTCAATCAGTCCCGATATCCGATACAACATGTTGAAGAACTTCTTTATTTATTAACTCTAAAAAAACTGGAAAAATGTCCATACTCAAAAATTGAAGCATACTTTTAGGCGAGCTTTGTTTTTAAGCCATGAAAAGAGTTTGACCTATGCAAATTTTGCAAAAAAACGAGGCATATTTAATAGATACACGCCTACCTGAAGATACGCATCAAACTGCTTTATCAGGCCCTTGAACTTTGACTCCAACGAGAAGGAACAACAAGAGTTATTTACATTTTTAAATCTGCATAAATAAAGGTGCTTCATGGGGTGAGTTTGGCATGTGTGTGAGTCAAGGTGATGATGAAAAAATTGATTAGAAATTCTAATTTGGCAAAGACATTCTCCTAAACGCCGTCGCCAGGGTGTCTAAGCCTGGCTAAAGAACAGGTCGGGGACAGAATGTTGCATAATCATCGCAGCACGCGTACTAATTTAAGCACTTAGAGAAAAATATATACTAAAATTTATATGTTTGTTAAGTTTTGAAATGTTTTTCTTGAACTTAGTTAATAATCTAGGTCAATCTGTTTTAAGAAATAAGATATAAGTTTCAATTATTTTTTCTTTTATAAAGATTTATGTTGTAAACAACATTTCAAATTGACTTTCTTTATCTTATCTTAATTTATTGAAAGTTTAAGAATAAATTTGATAATTTATTTCTAAATGCCAGAACAATTGTCGAAGAATAGAGGAGTCTCAGCCATTAAACGACAGACATTAATCACGTTTTTTGGTTGAAGAATATATGATGTCTTGCAGATCTGCATAATTTTTGTTTTTTGGGTGTATGAAGTGCGTGGCACTGCGGTGCTTATGGGACACATAAATAATGGGATCCAATGGGGTCCGGTTTTTGGTTACCTAACCCGAAAAGCCTCGTGCAGAATCGAAAATCCCAGAAACTCCAAACCCGAATTTCGCCGGCAAAGAACAGACAAAGAAGTTTGGCTTTTTATTAAATATACAAAATCAAAGTTTTTATTGAATTCTTCTTGTTTCGAGAAACGATTTACGGCTGCATTTCATTAATAAGCTCTATCACACTAGCACACATACATGCACATACACTCGGCTAGAAAAACATTAACACGTACTCAGTCAAACTTGGCCACATTCACACACTTAGGGTTCTAGCTACTTTTTGGATTTTAATCGTCGCCTGCCCGGCATATATAAACATTATACAAGTTATTCATCGCAGACTACAGACTACTGATAAATGGTAAAGGTAAAAGGTAAGAGTTACTAACTAAACCCCGCGCTAAAAAAACATAATTGCTAACTGAAACCCAATGATACCATCAAGTATCGATCTCATTCCAGTTTCAGTGGCTTCACGCTGTTGTTGTTTAGGTCGAGGTACACCTTTCCAGGCTGGGCATTCTGCAGGCTATGCTTTCCAGCGTTCATCGTCTGTGGCATGCAACCCATTCCACCGGCGGCTCTCAATGCTGATTGGGCCAAGCTGCTGCCAGTGGTGCGAGTGCTGCCACCATCCAAACTCTTGGCCTTCTTGTAGGTCTTGCGGTAGAAGTTGCCGAACAGATAAAGGAAGATGATCGTGTTGCCCACGAAGAAGAAGGTCAGTGTCTTGGGCATGTTGCATCCCTTGGCTCCCACAGTCAACATGTATCCCAGGATCAGGACGAACTGGATCAGCTGGATGCTGGTCATGTACTTCTTCCACCACAGGTACTTCTGGTACTGGGGTCCCATGGCGGCCACCATGTAGTAGAAGTACATGATGATGTGCACTCCAGAGTTCAAGATGCCAATGATCACTCCCTGCTCACCAGGAGCGTACTTCAGGTATCCCCAGGAGAAGAGCACGGTGATCGTATGATGGTAAACATGTAGGAAGGAGATTTGGTTATCCTTCTTCCTCAGCACAAAGAACGTCGTGTCCAGCAAATCAATGATCTTCGAGAAGAAGTAGAACCAGGCGCCGGAGTACAGGGTGAGATTCTGCTCCCTGGTGCGGTTGATCTCGCACTTCTTCGAGAAGATAGAAGCCATAACGTTGCTCTCTTGGATGGACTGTAAGTAAGAGGTAAGGGGAATGAGTTATTTTATATATAATATTAACAGTTTAACAGCCACGTGCAAGAGATTTACAATTGGAACAGTTAATTCATTCATTCATTAAAAAGCAACGCTTCTCCGAAATTTTATAGTTTGCCAATTGCCAAATAAAGTCTCACGTTTAGAATTTAAAACAAATTTCATCACCAAAGCTATATAAATATATATATAGAAGATTTATAAAAGATCTCTTAAACTTTTAGAATATTAAATGCAAATACAGGCTAGTCCGTAATTTTGTATGTTTAACAAGCACTTTCCTGCGTGGCTTATTAAAAATGAATAATACATAAATCGGGATCGGTAGCCGAGTAACAATCGGAATAATTATGACGCTCCATTTTTATGGACTCACCGTGCGGCACATCCAAATGGAGTACAAGACCTGGAAGGCATTATAGAAGACCATGATGCGCTTGAGGTCCATGGGCTTGCGGTTCTTCATGTATTCGGGTCCGATTTTCAGGACGAAAGCTAGGTAAACCAAGACGACGCCCACCACGGGGGCAGGGGAGCTCATCAGAAACCAGCTGTCCACTGTCTCATCTGGAAAACGAATAAATGATTTAGTATATTTTAAAAATATTTGCTATATGTATTTAACTTACCCACGCCTTTCGCAAGGCCGGAGATACGCTCCTCGACAATCTTCATGTAGGTCGTCATTGCGGCTCTTCAATTGGCAACTGGAAAAAAGGTTTACGATCTTTAGAAATTTTCGCCCGAAAATCGAGAATTCACAGCCCGACGTCCGCACGCCGCGTTGCCAAAATATTGAATGAAAAAAGGTATTCTAAATCTCCAACGTTTAGAGAGGCTCAGCACGTTTTTTTTCGCTCGGCTCGCCGAGAAGCGTGATATGCATCGGAATTTCTGGCGAGGCACGCCACAGATTTATTAATGAAAGGCGCGAAGAAATCGCTTATTGAGTTATCCTCAATCGAATGATGAATGACGACAGCAGATCGGCAAGTCGGACAAAGATTAAGTTGGTTGCAGTACAATGACAACGTCTATATATCTAGACATATCTTCGCGAATCAATAATCATGCTGAAAGATGTCTTCATGATCTTAGATTCTTGGGTAAAAAAAACCACGACCGCAAGTCAATGGCTTGGAAACCTGAAAAAAGCCGGACTCAAGGCTTCATTTGAATTTCTCGCCTTGGCACTAAAGTTTTAGACTAACTTTGGCATTCATCTTGGCATCTATCTGGGCATCTCTATGTCTTGTTTTTTTTAGATAAAATCACAGAAGCACACTGGCTTAATGTTCTGGCCAAATGGCCCTCGTGTTCTTGCTTCACATTGTTATTTAAATTGCACACGGAAAGAGTTTCGATTGAAAAATGAACCATCGAATGTATTCAATTACATGGAAGCCAGAACTAGTTTCTTATGTAACTTTGGTGTGTTCTCTTCATTAACCACTGACCTAGCCAACTCGAACCGGAACTCGTTCTTCAGAAGATTCTCGAATATGTATACGCGAGTATATATAGATTAGTTTTTATAATTAGCTGATATGCTAAAAGATATCCAGATGGGGGACGTCTCAGAACCGATCGGAATATAACTTGTCAGCAAACTTTAAAACTATTCTTATTTTTGTACTTTGAAGGCAGAGCCTGCTCTATAATGATTCTCCGATGACTGGAGTTTTGTTCTCATCTGATTGCAGCACCCTTCATGGATCACATGGCGTGTAATTAGAATTTGAAGAGAGCCTGGCCCCCAAGAACAGAGCAAACACCTGCCACAGTCGCTAATTGGACACACTCGGCGTATGATTGATATGTGCTGACTACCGCTGATCGACAGCGACTGAGACTAGGTCTCTGTCAGGGTTAAAGCAATCGCTATTGGAATTGGAATCGGAATCGGTATCGCCTTCCCATATCCATATATCCATATAGCCGTATAGCCATTCCCAGACCCATTCGTATGCAAGGCACTTGGCATCCATAGACTGACACTGGAGACAGGAAAAGTGAGCTGGCTGCCGCATCAGCCACATCAGCCACATCATCATCATCATCATGATCATAGACGAACCAAAAATGTGACGCCAATTGAAAGTCAGGCGAGTGTTCCGCTGGCTGCCTTCATAGCTGCTGACGTTGATCCCCCTGTCACCCCCTCCACCTTTTGGTATCCTACTAAGCCCTTGTTTGGGAAACCCCTAAGCAAGCAGCATACCTTCTGGCCACACTTTCGGATCATCGTAAGGCCAAGTTTTACCCGGCACTGGCTAGATTCTATGCCCATGTCTTCCGCCATAAATAAATTGTATAAAAATAAACGCAGAAGCAGCCAGAGAGCCACATATTGCCGCGCACGCATAAAAAATTATGTGTATTGTATGCATAATTGATTTTTTAGCTTTTGCCAATTTTTGTACCCTTTAAGAGCTGTCTTGTCAGCATTATCAGAATGATACTCGATACTCGGAACTGGGTTTACCCAGCACTTCAACACGGCTTTGCCATAATTTCAAATGTTGTGACTAATACGAAATGGTATCTAAATGCCCAAAATGCGTTGTCCGTCTGTCTCGGTGCGGAAAAGCACCGAAAAAAGCGTTAATTTTTACGATTTTGCCTCTAAAAATAAAAGGTTTAAGTAAAATAACACAAAAACAACTTAATTTGCCACTAATTCGAAATCTAATGAAGGCCGATGGGGCATTAGTCTTTCATCTGCGAACAAGTCTTTACATATACATCTATATCTGTATCTATATCTGCGTTGCTAGTGCGATTTAAATGTTGTTAATGTGTCACAAGCAAAAGCTGCAAGTTTTGCATGTTTATTTTTTTGCAAGATTGCGCCCAGAAGGTAAAGGTATTTTACGTGTTATGTCGCCACGTGTCTACACGGTGGGAAATATGGTGTTAATATATGTTAAACTTAAGGAAAAGTATGTTTTGAAAATTGTAACACTGGTCAAGTGTTCTTGTTAAAAGTGTACATGTTGACATTAAACAATTTGTTATGTTTTTTGGATAATTTACAAATTAACATTATTCCATAATATAACAACAAAACAATATTAATGTTTTTCAAAAGGTAAACAATCACCTGCTCCCCACCTATCTACCTATATCTAAAGATTTCATCTTGGCCTAACAAATTATATAACTATGTATCTGTGTAGATTGCAATCCAAAGGGGCGGATGTTTTTCTATAGATTACAGGCGTCGCAGCACGATTTTCACACGCACTTGAGTGTTCGCCGAATGACAACAATTAGCCATGTGAAATTCCCGAATACATTAACCCATTGAGAGACTAAAATCTGGAAGGTGTTGTGATGCAATTGGGTGGCTCTTAAAAGGCATAAGTTCTATGTAGAGGGTATGAAATTACTTCATGTTTTCCCGATGTCTTTAAGCATTGTTTTCCCGACGTGGCTCCAAGAGTGCAACAGGTTAATCATTTAGTTTTGCCTGTGTCAAGTGCACATGTTTTATGGTTTCATGCTTGCTTTGTGCTGTAAATTAATTTTTTCTGCCAGCCGAGGCATTTATGTAAAGAGGAGGCAGCAAAATGCGCCGAGTCAGCCAGCACTTGGCGAACCGCAGAAACGCCACATATTCATCCACAACTATAACCAACACTGAGAGAAATTCTTTGAAAATTGTATTGAGGGCAAAACTTGTTCGATGCTTTCTTTTTGATCTAAATCTTAAAAATCTTTAAGATCTGTAAAAAAATATATATTTTTTATTTATGAATTTGTCTAAGAACAGACTTGAAAACTATTGCCACATTTTTTTTTAAAATTTCAAATATTTCTTACTTTAAATCAGAACTACTTTTAAATACCCTAAACACTAAATTTTTCCCTGTGCACAGTCAGTCAGACCTATGTGATGGTAACTTTTTTGGACCCGTTGACAACCTTTAATTACTTGGCAAATATTTGCGCCGTTAATTGGATTTTTTCCTGGCCCGAAAATCTTTTTGGGGCGTCTATGTTTTCGTTAGAAACTGTAACGGATATGGCCCGTGGTCTCTTCGTGGGAACTCCGACTTCTAATTTGTTTGCCTAACCATGAAATGTGGTCATCTTCGCCAAATGGTTGTGGGGGGTGGGTGTGTGTGTGCTTCTTGCTGGATGTCTAGTGGAAGGTCATATGGTCAATGCAGCTGCAAATTGAATTGCAATCGATTACAAGTTCAAATCGTTTAGTTTTGGCCGCCTCAATGCTGCAGCCAGAGTCTTGGCCTTGGTTGACTGGCAAAATTGCAGCTCCTCAAGCCAGTTTACAGCGTTTAATCTATGTACGATGCATTGGGTTAAGGTCGACGAGAAAAATCAGACGGACCAGTGTGGCAGAGTTGCAGCAGAATTAGCCAGGCCTAGAGACAGTAACTGCCAACTGGCAATCCAGTTTTGGCCCACTTTTATTAGACCAAAAAATGGCTCTCTAATTTATGCAACACTTTCGTACACCTTGAGTTTGTCCCCACAAAGAAATTTATGAAATCACTTCCGTACCTGTTGGGTTTTGGGTTCTTTTTCACGGGCGGACTCCCTGCTAAGATGGCTAACACAGACACAGAAGCACTGGCTCACACACACACTGTTGACACACGACCGTAGCCTGAAGATTCAGTTTCAGAGATACGGACTCGAAACTCGGACTCGACTGCGGCAAACGCCAAGAAGACACTAATATGGAGTTCTACCCGCTCGGCTGTATAAATAAACAAAATGTACGAGCTTCGCGGGCTGGCCAACATTTGACGCCGCTGTCGCTGTCGCAGCTGGCAGCGCTGTCGATGCTCGGCCCGCTCGGCGTATACTTAACCTTTTTTTTGTCTTATTTTTGCGTCACTCGGCCAGGTTCGATACGATGCAAGTCGAAGTCGCGTTAATGGCCAAATTGAGTTGCGCGGTTCTTTTTTTTTTAGAAAAATTCAGTTTTAGTCTCTTTTTTTCTTTGGTTTTTGGCTTTCTGGTGCTAAGGTCAAGTTTGAAGCAATTAAAGCGAATGTCTGTGGCGAGAAAAGAAAGCAAAACTGCTAACGACAGCAGCCAGGCCATGCGTTTTCTTTGGTTTATTTTGAACAAGTTTATTAACCCTTTTCAGGTTGGCCAAAAAAACATGCAGATCCTATCGCAAAAAGCGCGGCAAAAAGAAAACGAAAGCAAAGAGGGAAACAACAAGTTACACCGTGAAAATGAAATACAGAAGTTTTCAGTAACTTCTCTGTTTTTTGTATGGGAAAACCCTAAACATATTTACATACAGCATACTTTAAGACAACCTAAACTTAGTTCATCATCATAAATTACTATTGCACAGCTGCAAAAAAGTAATGGGCTGATGTCTTAATGTCACTGAAATTCTTAGGGATGACTTTTCAGAGAGAATGCTAGCTGCTAAAGTGTGCCAGAATGAATGCTGTTATGAATATTATATATATGCCAAGATTTTGAGACCCCACAAAACAGTTTATATCTTTATTGTACGCTTTGACCTTTAAGTGATAACTTGGGTTAAGTGGGTTTTAGCATTTGGGGTTTGAATTACTTTGTTTTAATATTGTATATAAGTAAACATTACCAAAGTTTAATTTGATTCTACTATATGTTTTAAATATAACAGACTTCAAAAATAAATATACTCAATTCCAGTTCAAAAACAAATACTAATTAACAAAGAAATACCTGAAAAATATGAATGATTTGAGTCCCATTCAACGTATGGGTATTCAACAATGAATTTCTGACCGAATTCGCAGATATTTTTCTGTGTGCACTTTCCAAGCGGCCAAATTGGTTTTAAATAAACCGCTAGACAATTGATTTATTATCGTTGTCACGTCATGGAGACGGACTCAATGGGCAGCATACATACGTTCATATATAAATATGTGGGTAGACGACACGCCCCAACTCTATTACGGGCACTTACTTAACTTACGCAAACAGGGATTTACGGGCGTAGTTAACACATTTTCAGATTTCGATGGGAAGCGATTTGCCGCCCCATTAATGGGAAATTTCACTCACTTGAAAGTGAAGTTTCCCAGATTCCTGGATTATGTGACCCCTAGAGCTCCACCCACGTGCTAAGTACCCGGTCAAATATTCAAATTCTCAAATATTTGCCAAAGTCGATGCACTGCAGCTGTATTGGTCACTATCGCTTCTTCCGGGCCTTTAGCATTTCCATTTGAGCCACATGGCAGCGGGCCAAAAACAAAAAGTCGTTTTGCATTTGTTATCGCTGGCTGCTCGTCATTCAAAGCAGCTCGTATTATCGGCGTTTCTCTTTTGTGATAATGACCCTGAACTTCAGCGCTACTATATATTAATATAGTCGATTAATACCGCTAGTCGCTAGTCGTTAATAGTTAGTCGCTAGTCTGTGCGAAATCTGCTCCTTGGCCGAGTTTCTGACGGAGCTGGTCAGAACGCCGAGAGCTGATTGATGTTATTGGCCTGGATTTGTCAATAGGGTCTCATCTTCATTGGTTGCCCATGAAACAAACAAGTTCTTTAAATTTTTTATTTTTTAACTAATTTTTTAAACCAAAAATAACCACTTTTAAAATATTAGTTTTTATATGCTATAAATATTCTATGGGCGCTATTAAAACGTAATTAAATTGAGGTTTTAAGTGGCTGCCAAACAAGTGACTTTTTATTAGGCCTACATGGCTGGTTATATTTCCTGACCATCAAAATATTTAGAAAAATCTTTGTCTATTTAAAAAGTTATACAATTTTATTTTCCCAATTAATTTCAAGTTTTTTTGAGATACTTGCCATTCCAATTTAGAGCCTCCATAAATTTTGACTTCTTAACTTGAAATTGTATTATTTAAATTTTTTAATAACTCGTTATTGCTTAAATATATAAAAGCAGTATATGCTTAAATCCTCTTCGAAAAGCTTTTTGTGTTTTGGAAAAGTACTATATGCAAATATATATGCATTCTTAAGTGACTTAAACCCACGGGAATCCACCTTTCCATTTCATAACTTCCAGTTTTGAGTTGACTTTCTTGATACTTTGTTAATTGGTTTTAATAGTAGTCACTTAAGTAAACTTTTCAAAATACGATTTCTCTGTAACTGTATTGTTTAAAAACTAAAGAGAAAGACTGTATTCTTATAATATATGTCTTGTAATTTCGTCACGGTCGACAATTTCTCATGAAAAGTATATTGTATGTCAAGTATTTACACAAATAACCAATATTTAAACAGTAGAATTATCACCTTTGATCGCCATTAAAAAGTTGTGAGCTCCCAACAATGTTTAACTAATAATGAAAGCACTTTGTTTACCGGGAGCAATACGATTTTGTTGTTAGCACATTTCAATTTTGGCGGTTTTTGTTTGAGTTGCCATATCGTTTTACAGAGCTATTACAGACAATCTACGATTAACAGCTGTTAACAGCTGGACTGAACAAGTGTGACCGCATATTCTGCTACAACATATGTTTGCCAGCGAATGCCCCTTTTCTGCAGACAGCCACACTGGGAAAACACAGAAAAATTAAGGAAAAACAGATGAAAAACTGAGATTGTATACAATTATAGCAAGAGCAGCAAGTAGTTTTCCGCGTCAGTGTTGACTTCTAAGCCTGCCGTTGGAGTAACGGCAATTGCGCGACTTTTGAGTGGTAAGTGATTAGTGACAAATCGCCAGTGAAATCGTTTGATTAACCCTTTGGTGGTGTTGTGACACTTACCTAAAACTTCGGGAAAATGGGAACTGCGCAAGTAAAGTGCAGGTGTGGGTTAAACCAGTTGGTGCTGTTCCCTTTACACGTGGCCTTGTTACCAAGAGCTTATCTATTAAGGTTTTCCGGAAAATCTTCTTGTACATTAAGCCACTGAGTGTCCCGTTCCCCTTTGTCCCCAATCTTATATAAAAATTTAATTGGCAGCTAATTCCCTAAGTGATAAAACACACAAACTCATAGAAACCAGATACAGACATATAGTACATATGTACACATAGTCAATTCTGTGGGAATTCAAAGGTCGCTCCGTCGCTACTATATAGCAAGCGATCGGATCGGGACATACTAATAAACAAATAAACAAATATCACATTTCCCAGTTAAGCTAGCGTTGAACTAAAAAACTTTTCACATTGCCAATGAGCAACTAAATTCGAACGTATCGTTTTGACCGAACCGCGGTTTTTTTTACAGATTAAATAGCCGAGATTCCAAAGGATCCGAGACCATATCGAAATGGACTCGGCCACGAATCTTCTGGAGCGACACGGCTCGACGGGCAATTTAAGTAGTGGTGGACCAGCCGAAGTAGAAGTAACCACCCATGCTAGGGCCACCTTTGGAATGGATTTTGCAGGAAATCCGACAGGCGAGGCAGAGACCACCACCACGGCCACTTTGCGTTCAGCAGGATCCGACGAGGACATCTTTGAGCAGGTGAAGATGATTCTGCGCAAGCGACGCGGCTGGGGACCAGAGGATTCTCTCAGCCCCAATGATTTGGACCTTCTGGAGTACGATGACGAGTTGGTCGAGGAGGACGACGCTGGTTGTCCACTTCCCTCGACACCGGAGGACACACAGCTTATCGAGGCGGAGGTGAGTTTGGGGTTACCAACCTTTATTTTTCCCCAGGTGGAAAAATACAATTTACAATCATCAAAACATGTGGGGCACCTCTTATCGCTGACCAACCACCATGTGGTTATCTCCTGCCACTTGTTAGTCGCAATTTTCCGACTGCGCATGCAGTCATTTGAATGTCGAGCTCTTATCAATAACAATGTTGCATTGGTCCAATGACTAGTTGCTACATTCAAATGTACCATAACCATGCAGTGTGTTATAACCTTATCTTGGCCATTTCTCTTGTTTATGACTCACTAAATACAATTGCTCAATTTGAAGACCATACCAAAACCATTAAAAAGTATAACCTTATCTATCTTTGCCTATAATGTCTGCCCAAAAGCTGTCAAGTAAAATTCCTTGATTATAGGAAGCTTTTACCTCTGCCAATCAGCAATTTTTGCTTATTGGCTGGAAAGGTCAGGCTTAGATTAAGCACGAAAAGTTTCGGTATAGCCCTTTATACGACAGATGCTAGAAAAACAGAAAAAATTTACGTCGATGCGGTACTGATAATGCCCGGAGAGAAGACAGTTTCGTGCTCGCTTATCTTATCGCGGAACGCATTCGGTGCTTTCTTGTTCCGCCAACAACGTCTAAACAAATTGAGCCGACTGAGTATGCGACTAGCAGAAGCTTCAAAGTACGAACGCTCATTGTTTCGCACACTTAGTTCTAGTTCCGTTCGAGTCTCTGTTAGCTTCTGAAGATGCAGACCCAGCCGGAGGTTGTAGTGCGTGTGAACCCGGATCTGGAGCCGGATGTCAGTCAAGAAGCCAAGAGCACTCAGAACCAGGATACAATCGAAGCACAGGCTGGCAAAAAAATCGTTAGTCCCATTCGCTTTTAGCAATTTATTGTCATCTTGTAGTATAAGCTTTTGATATTGATCGGTACGAGGATACATTCATGTCTTAACTATTTATTCCACAGATGACGGAGGTGCTGAAAGCTGGCGTTCTATCCGATGAAATTGATTTGGGCGCATTGGCCCACAATGCCGCCGAACAGGCTGAGGAGTTTGTGCGTAAGGTAAGCGAAGTGCATCCACCTGGCAGAGATTGTCCGAATTGCAAGATTCTCAGTCAAGTTGTATGATTTGTTAAAATTTTTGTTTTTAATAAATTGTTTTTTTTTTTTTTTTTTTTGTGTTGTCTTTATATCTGAATGGAGGTTTGATAATCTTAAAAAATTAATTAATTAATTACCATAAACCACTATTAATTCCTTTTTTATTTCGTCCATAGGTCTGGGAGGCTAGCTGGAAAGTGTGTCACTATAAAAACCTACCCAAATGGCTGCAGGATAATGACTTCCTACACCGCGGCCACCGCCCACCGCTTCCCTCGTTCCGCGCTTGCTTCAAATCGATTTTCCGTGTTCACACGGAAACGGGCAACATCTGGACACATCTCTTGGGCTGCATCGCCTTTATTGGCGTGGCATTGTACTTCATAACGCGTCCCTCGGTTGAGATTCAAACGCAGGAAAAGATCGTCTTTGGCGCCTTCTTCATCGGCGCCATCGTATGCTTGGGATTCTCCTTCGCCTTTCACACACTCAGCTGTCATTCTGTAGAGATGGGAAGACTGTTTTCTAAGTACGTATACAATAGATGTTTAATTTAAACGCATATTAATTGTTTAATTATTTATCTTTAGACTTGACTACTGTGGAATTGCGCTGCTAATCATGGGCTCCTTTGTGCCTTGGCTGTACTATGGCTTCTATTGTCATTACCAGCCAAAGGTGATATACCTATCGGTGGTGTGTGTGCTGGGCGTTCTCTCCATCGTTGTCTCGCTGTGGGACAAGTTCTCGGAGCCGGCACTTCGTCCCTTGCGCGCTGGCGTGTTCATGAGCTTTGGCCTGTCCGGCGTGATTCCAGCGATTCACTATAGCATTATGGAGGGTTGGTTCAGCCAGATGAGTCGCGCCAGTCTGGGATGGCTAATTCTCATGGGTAAGTTTTGTTAAAAAAAAAAGTTTGACGACAATATATTAATACTTGCTTTGTAGGCCTTCTATACATCCTTGGCGCTTTGCTGTATGCCCTACGTGTTCCCGAGCGCTGGTTCCCCGGAAAGTTTGACATTTGGGTAAGCGTTTTGGTGTCTTTTGACCTTTAAAACTTTTCCTAACATTCTATTATTTTACAGGGCCAATCACATCAAATATTCCATATACTGGTCATTGCGGCTGCCTTCGTCCACTACCACGGCATCTCGGAAATGGCCATGTACCGCGTCATGTACAGCGAGTGTACCGTTCCCATCGAACCAATAACCTTTTAGATGCTGAAGTAGATGCCAAGGAACAATCATCGGAAAAAGCACATACAATCCCATACATTTTCATACATACATAAATAATTGCGAACTAGAAAAGTTTTACAATGCAACCTTTTTAGCGTTTGGTGAGCATTTGTACCTTGTTATACAAAATTAACGGATCGAAACACAAACTCGCGAATTAGGCGCATTTATCATCAAAATCTTACATACAAAAACCTAGCAAAACAGTTGATTGTCGAATGAAATCTGCAGTAGAGTTAATATATGTATCATTATTTATAAAAATTCCAATTCGTCTACTTAATGTTATCCTAAGTTGAATGACAATTCTGTAGTACAGAATAGGCTTGCTTCTGGAATTGGCAAATTGCAAAACATCAGCCAGGAGTCATCGCGAGATGACTTTCGCTCAGGGTTACCATTGCTATAATAGTTCGAAGAGCCAGCCAAGCAATTTCTATTTTAAGTTATGCAATTAGATGATCCCGTTGTGGCATTAGTATTTACCGCTTATATTTGTTAGGGTTGTATGGAGTAATGAACATACACACACATTTCAATCGTTAGATGAGGTCTGAGTTACATAAACACTTACTCACACACATCACAAATTCCGTATCCCTGCACACACTGAGGGCAGAACGGCGCGTATGGAGTCTAAGATATTATATCACCATATACATTATAATTGCAGATCTATCACAAAAACATAAAGCGAATCAAAACAATAAAAAACTGAAAAGACTTCTAAACGACCGTTTGGTGCTATTTTTATTAAGCCATTTATTTTATTTCTTGACACAAAAACTATATTTAAGATTAGCTGATTGCGATTTGGCAATTCGGTTGCCATCACCCTAATGCCTAGCCATAAATATCGCCCCAGAGAACTAGAAATCCGCATTATCGGGGTTATTAGTCGAGTTCACTATGCTGTGCCAGGCGAGGGCACAGTATTTGCTACTGATGACTGGGCGAATACTGAATTGACTTTGACCCCCTTGATGAAGTGAACAGCCGTGGTCTAGTCTCGGATCTCGATATGATTCCTTCTCCGTTGCCTTGTGTTCTATGCGTCGTCATTGTCTTCATCGTGTTCCAGTTTCTATTAACAAATCCGCAGATCATTAAACCTTTTATTTAGCTTCTCGCAAATAATCGAACTTTGTACTTGACAAGCTGTCGGCACGTGTCTTTCAACTAAATGCGATTGCAGGTTTTGTTTCTTTAAAAATTCAAGTTCAGCAGTAAAAAAAAGCAAATGACTCGGTCAAATAAGTCGAAAATCAGTTCGGAAGTTAAGCAAAATGGGAGAAAACCAAAGTCGAAGAAAAATATTTTAAAAATGTCTTAATGAGTCGTAAGCATGTGCATATCTAAATGGTACAGTGTGGTTTCGATGTGATGATTTTAAATGTTTTTTCATTGACTAAACAATAGTAAGGTATTGGAAAAAACTAATTGGTATTATTATAATTATTACCATGATTTGAATTGAATGTTTAAATTTGATTATTTGCTGATTTTACTAATGTATTAAATTGTTTTTTTTTTAATATTTTTTAAGTGCAACATTTGTGGTCCATTGAATATATTTATTTAGAGATAAACCAGCTATTAAGTTATGACAATGGATCCACACGTCAAACATGTTGACTCCTCTGCTCAGCCCCCGTGCGCCATTAAATCTAAAAATATTACCAAAAGCCAAAGTATTTTACATTTTATGTTTAAAACCAATGATGCAGGGGAGCGCAAAACACACAAAAACAGTATTCACGAAACCTGCGCTGTATGAAAAATGCAAATCAAGTGGGTACAAATCGGTGCCAGATGGGGAAATGGTTTTGCCTTTTAAGGCGATATATTTTAGTTCAAACTGATTGGCTTAGCTCCCTATTTTTTGTATAATCTTTAGTTTGTTTTATCACAAGAGTCAAAAATGTAACTGGGCTTTCACTTCCAATTAAGTACAATATTCAGTAGCCAGTGCACGCCATATATACAAGCATGTAGTATAATTATCCTCATTACACTTAATTTGACAATCTGTGGAACCTAGAAACCAGCTTGACTCCACTCAGTGGGCCAGCCGGAAGAGAAGCTGTCATCGCTTCATGAGATATATGCATCAGCATCCGCATATCGGTGCTTTGTGCAGTTCAATGTCGGTGGAACACATCGTCAGACCCAAAATGTTGCGTATATGTAGAGTTCAGACTGCCACCCAGTTTCGGCTCCGGTTTTTTTCTCCCAGCTCTTTATTAATGGTCTTGTGCAGTTGCTTTTATGCGTTAAATTCAATAAACGTACGGTTAACTGCGAGACTCCGAGTGAGTTTCAGGCTTAGACTGAGACGCAGACTGAGAGTGCGACTCAAAGGCAGACTGTCTGACTGACAGGCCAGCAAGTGGCAACTGGTCTTTGAAGGTTTTTGGCGTTTAAGTGTTATGGTCAAGGCTGTCGCACAGCATCCGCTGTGTGTCCAGTTCGTTAGTTCATTGATTTCCAATCAGCCTCAGTTCACCTCGGACTATGGTGCTTGCCAACATTTGGCTCTGGTTGCGTTTTTTCTTTCCACCATCAGCGTTCTCTAAAGTGTTACGCATTAATTGAGTTTTAATGTAAGCCGGTGATTGCGCACAAGAATTGCCACAAAAAGCGACAAAAACGACCAAAAATTTACTAAATTAAGAGCAAAAATAAGACAAAAGAAGGCAGAATTTTTTTGTGCCTCCACCATCTAACGATCAATCCTATTCTTGCAGAAATACCATATACAATCATTTTCATGCAAATTATGCTATCTTGTCAAGTTCAAAAACATTAAAACCGTATAATGCTCTAACAAAGACTGTTGGCAAGATGTTTTTATTTATTTTCGTTTTGTTGTTGCCAATGTAAAGATGCTTTGAATAAAAAAAAAACTTTAATCGAATGAGTCGTTAAATGAACAGCAGTAGTATCTATAAATCGATGCTCCGGGGCATCGACGCGAGTTCGTGTCCGAAGTCTTTTGTTTCCGCCAAGCGACATTGACTTTGAAATGGTTTGTATTGAAGACAAAAGTGAAAATTCGGATGGAAAATTTACGGAAATCGTATCTAAACAATACATCGATTGATTAAATCTTGCCTTTGTCGCTTCTATGAAAACTTCCTTAGTTGAAAACTGCATAAAAATTATGTTCAAATATTTTTCCAGATTCAAAATCAATATACACACTATCATACTATCTAACACTAAAGTATTAGCAATATAAGGTGTAAAGATTATTTTATAGCTCATTTCTTTAATTAAGCATTAAGCATTAAAGTCATTATTATTAACTTCTGAGAATGAATGTCATAAAATAAAACTATTAAAATGGGTAAACATAAAAGTCTTATCGCATAGCATAAAATGTATAATGTAGATTTTGCACTCCCTACATCATATTCTTGCTTCTTCCTTTGGCTTAAGATATATTAAAAGTACAGGTAAAGTTACTTAACATGTATTTTGGGTGTTTAAAAACATGTCTTTTGGGAAGTTTGGCACGCCCTCAAATGAGCCTAAACGTGGGGCTCGTTAACGTAAAACGAGCTGCGTAGAATCTTCCTCAAATTGCCAAAAATATTTTGCAATTGAAATGAGCTCCGCCACATAGAGCGCCTCCAAAATGAGATTCGGGCACGCGTCGGGCATGCCAACATGCCAACTTGGACGACCTTCGCTATGGCGGAAGCTCGATTGAAACCGAATTGGGCATCGGCCGAATCGGAATCCAAAGATTAAAGGCAACACTGATCTGTGAATGAATCGATGGAATTTCGGTGATTCGGTGAATTTGGGAAGTGCACACTGGAGCCATAATAAAACCCATATATGCGTGGGTGTGTCGTGGCAATCGGTTGACAAGCAAATGAGGCGCGTTTGGCTGCATTTTTCCAAATACTTGGTTTTTCTTTCTTCCTTCTGGTTGAGCAATTAGCACTGGTGGCAAATGTCAGACATACATTTGGTCTTGGAGTCAGTGCGTCTACATAGACTTCTTTTTAGCCCCACACACAATAGGTTTGTATGCGGGGTAATGCAGTTTTCAGGCACCAGAGAAACAAACTGCGACTTTGCGAGTGAATGAGGGAATGACGCGGCTGAAATCCATCAAGTGGCCACTGGAAGCTTTGGACCGGAGGCATTTTGGGGCCATTTAATTGCACAATCATTTTTGCACACCACACATATAACTCCCGCCACCAAGGCATATGGGCCAGTCGATGATAAATGCAGTGGCTTGTGTTATGATTTGCTCCACTGCCACATTCCCGCAGCTTGAAGTACCTATGTAGTCTCATAAATAGTTTTCCTACCAAAAATGGGCGGTTGTTCATTAAGTTAATTATTGACTTCACATTACTTTCTGCATACATTTAATGCCCGATGGGTAATTAGCCAGCTAGATCCTAGAACTGTGCCCTAAAAGCATGCACATTGAAGGTGGATTCTGGCCGAGGCGAAGTGCCACTTGCTTTTCACCTGTTTTGTGTTTCATCGGCACTAAAAACGATCTTGGCCGAATACGAATGCGACTGCGAATCTTGGCCGAAAGCGAGGCACTCGTACTCGTATCCGTGATACGATCGCTACAAGACCGCTTGTAGGGCCCGGATATCGCTTAGTCTGCTGTCGGCGCCTCAACTGCCAAGTAATCGCTGGTTACTCGTGGAGCTCGAGATCTCGAGAACTGTCGCCGCCTCGTGTTCTGTGTTCTGATCGACAACGCCGCGTATGCGTGATATTGCCTCGAAGGATAACAGAAAGTGCTTTTAGTGTCTGTCCTTTGCCGGATCCGCGTCAGTGTATCGTCGTTTGTGCCGCGTTCTGTGTCGTAATAAATCATCGACGTCCATTCAATATTTTTTTCAGCTCTCCTGAAATTTATTCACTAGAAAGGCAAGTGTTAAAGAACTTTAGAAAAAAACAAAATACAATGGGAAATTGTGTTCAGATTTTATGCTAAGTTATGCGCACACGATGGCAACCTGTTGAAGATTTGAGACATTTTTGGGGTCATTGCGAAACGACACCCAAGCCCAAAAGACCCGGGCACGGACGAATTCGAAAGAAAAATACAAACTAAATATTGTATAAATAAATAACATGAAAGAGAGGAGAAGCAAAAAAAAAAGACGAAGACGGGCTTACAAAACCAGCTGTAATGCCCGCAGATGAAGATGGCCAGGCGAGGCGAGTGCGAGTGGGCCAAGTCAATCATATAGCTAATGTGGCTCATATGTAAATCGCATAGCGATTGATCAATTTTAAGCGTTATTGTAATCCCTCGCAGATGAAGGCGAACGCATCTTGACCAGATACAAACTGCCACTAAGAGTTGCATTACCAATGTTTGGTGCACAGGGAAAAAAATAGTGTGTGATTTCTAAAATTGGACTTAAGTAGGGATTTTAAATATAAGGATCTTAAGTTTGTGATTTTTTATACATTTTTTAGTCATAACAAAGTCTCTAAAATATTTTTATTAGGCAGAAAAATATTTATATTTCAGGAATTTAGTTTTTATTCGATTTTTTCAAGACTCAAATTTAAAGTAATAAATATTCGCAATTTAGAATTCATTAATCTTATCACTTTAAAACTATAAACAATTATTTTTTCGTGTGCCAGTCAACCAATTTCAGGCAGCATTATATCATCACTGATCTCTCTTATTTAGCCCTGAATTTTGCGTTACATTTTCGACACAATGGGAACAACTGGTCAAGTTTGCGATATAAATAACAATCAGAAGAAGTGCTAAATGAAGCGGTATACATCGATGGAAATCCCAAAGTCAACTTGCCCATTTGTACTCTTATACTTTTGGTCCAAGTTGCGATGTGATAAGAACATGGCAAGTGTATTGGGCTTGGCAGACTGTTTGTTGATCTTTTATTTCGAAATACGAGTCTTGTATATGCCACATTCATTCATAAAAGCAAACTTAATTCGTTTATCACGCTTCGTGTGGATCATACAGTTGCCAGCAATTTTTCACCAATATAATTTGGTTGGAATTGCCCTTGGAACAATAAGGCGATGATGATGATGGTGACGTTCACGCATGCGCACAATTTGTTTATTTATGATTTTATTGTTGTTTTCTTGGCGTCAACACCCGGCGGAGATAGTTAGTCAGGCGGAGAGCGAGATTACGATGGTATCTTGGGGTCCGGTCCACAAAAGTTTCTGCTGCACATCCGTTCGCACGTTGGCGGCCCGTGTGACATATACACTTTATACTTTATGCTGATGCGACTCTTCGGTGACATTTCTCGCCCTGCAAAATTACATTTTAATATTTTGAATCCAATTGGGGTCACATGCGCTGGCGGTCACACCTACAAACAAAAAACAAAAAAAATAAAACCAAATTTCCATCTGGTTTTGGGGATTTCTTCATCTTTCTTTCGGACGAGTGCGTTTCCAAGTGACTTGTTTGCCCAACAAGGCGGCACTAGGCAGGTTGGCCAGAAAAAGTTGATAATAATGGCAAGGTAAACAATTCGCCAGGCAGAACAAGGCGATGGCGATGATTATGATGATGTAGGTGATGACAATGGCAAATATTGGAGGTCAGAAGTCGCATAGAATGAATATTTATGGGGGGGGTCGAGGTACCTGAATGACTAGTTCAGTTTTGGGGACCCTTGAGCCATACCAAATCATTCTTGCGAATGCAAGTGCAATGACATTAATATCCTATAGACAAGGTAATGATCATTGGGCAAAGAAACAATCGATGACTGTTGAACAAAAGTTGTTAATTGTCGCGGTATTTTTCCCAGCTGGAGAACCTAATTGATCATAATTAAAAGAAGGGCCCGTCATAGAGCAGTCGGGGATCGATTGCGACTGCCTATCGATCGATTTGATTTGTGGCATGCGCAATTAGTGACTATTTTTCTACGATTGTAATTTATTCTGTCGCTGTCGCTGCCCAAACGAAAGACTGAGGCGACGAACTTTGACTTGTTTTTCGTGTGCAATGTGGGGAATATTTGTTGGGGGAATATTTACAGGCAATTGCATATTTATAAAGACAAATTGCTAATATTTAAATAATCCAATAACTAAAGAAAGCATCTTGGAATAATTTACATTCGCGACGCCTTCCTCAATGGAAAGGTATATGAATATCCGATTTAATCGATTGGCTATCATGTATCCCACACATCATATTACTAGATCTTGACAAACAGCCAATGAGTTGACTCAATTAGCACTTACAGACATTAGTAGTAATGGAAACTTTGTTAAGTTATCCAGTTAATTGGACAGAGAGGAATGCCGGGAGTCTGTTTAACTAACATTCCTTCTGGAATGTTTTTTGTTTTAGCAAAACAAGCCACGCGGAAGTCAATAATATGGCTTTAGCTTAAATCGATTAATTTATGCGCCTGCAGCAGCTCGCATTCTAGTCACTAGTTCAAGGTCAGAGCACAAACTAAGGCTAATGCAAAATAGTTAAGCCAATAAAATTCAAATCAGCATACGAAAAGAGACTGAACCACCGATAAAATAATAAAAACGCCTCCAATATGTGTAGCCTACAGCTCAACGTATGTATGTTTGTCTAGCCACGCCCAAAATATAAAAGAAAAAATCCGCATCCGCTGTGGGAGCGGATAATATGGACGAATCTCAAGCTGCTCTCCAATGCAAGAGATCAGGTCTGGGGCTCCGCTTTTTGTTTCCTCAAAACGTGCGACCTTCGCAGAGATTTTTAATGCGTTGCCGATGCCATTGCCTTAGGTCCATTCAATCGCTTGATCAGAGGCTGCCGCTCCGTCTTCGAATTCAATATTATTGGTCTTCTCTTTTGTTGGAATACACTTGACGAAAAAAGATACATGAATATATGATTTAATATTTGTAGAAGCCATAAAACTAGATTAAACAGAAAAAATATTAAAAGATATCTAATATCCCTAAAGTCTAAATACATTTTCTGGAATATTTAGTAGATATTGTTGACTAATATTAATATTTTTCCAAGTGCTCTCATATTTTCCCCCACCTTGCTACCTCTGAGTGCCGTCCTCAACATTCCGAGCCATTTAGTTCGAAGCTTAGGCCTTCCCATGCGGCCTCTTATCAGCAAGTCTATAGAGTCTATAAAGTCTGTAAATAGAATAAAAGCCCGACTTCGAAATCCCTAGCATAATGAGCCGCGCATTGCGCATACGCCCCATGTGCTTGGCTAACCAAAAATGGTGGCCAGCTTGGCGACAGAACAAAACGTGCGAATCTTTTGCATGGCGCGTGTCTAGAATTTATCGGCCGACTTCTAACCGTGGAGCTGATTATCGCATAATAATAAACTGGAATGTGACGTCAGTTGAGAGCGGGTGATATTTCTATACATATATTTATTTACTTAGCCATTATTTGGCTTCATTTAATATTTACTCTGTCGTTGCCACGCACTCTCGTTCACTGTCAATCGCTAATTGGCATGCAAACGGCCATCAACATTATTGGAAAAGTAGCTAGGATTTTGCGCAATGTTTCGGTTTCTTTTTTAGCATTATGCAAAACGAGAGCAGATTTCAGGGTCCAACTAAATGGAGCTTTTCGTAGCCTAAAAGGGTTAAAAGGTTTATGGAATTTGTCGGTGTTATAAGCACAGAGAAAATTCTAAAATTTCATATGCAAAGTAACGCTGACTTTTGCGTTTTTGGCCATAAAGTCCGACTATCTAATTTGCATTTGAACATCGAACGATTCTGAAAATCAATAGGCAAATGGATATGCAAAATTTTACAGCGATTCGAATGATGAGATGAGTCGAGGTCTGATCTCAGAGACCGGAAGGTCCAGATGGAGGGGAAACACATGGAAGCGGTGGCCTCCCGAAACAAAACTGGTAATCTCCACACATATTATCTAACTATTTATGACTGTTAGATGGCCATAAAAGAACTTCGTAGTCGAAAGTTCCAAAAACCAAGTCCAAGTTCATTCCTCGACCGCGGAATAAATCAAGAATTAAATTTCATTGCCCGACAGAGGCAAACCGGTCAAACATTTTGATTTGATTATATAATATTTTATATTTGCTTTTATTATTTTATTTGAGTTTTGCCGGTGTTTCAAAATTGCATTAACAGGTTAGTGGAGCAGCCATACGGAATAATGTTTATAAAATTATTAACGCTGTCGGGCAAATAAAACGAGTTTAGAATTTGCATAAAGAACGCCAAGATGAAATATTGCACATGATTGTTGATAGCTTAGTTCCTGTTATAACTAACTATTATCCCTAGTGCTGTATGGGAACTATAGAATGTAGGCATTATGCTTAGATTTCTTGCACAATATATCTTCACACCCTCGAAAACACCATTGGCTGGCTCTGGTCGATTGAAAGTGCCGGCCTTGCAAAATCACTTGGCAAAGGCACTCGAAATAATGCAAATAAGTCAGACGAAATTCTCGTTAGTCAATATCTCAATATCCAACTGAATGAATGCATTTTTGGCGCGCAGCTCTGCCAAGAGCGATGACTGAACAGAAATCGCTGGGTAATTCGATAATGGCATTCACTTGGAGTGCGAATTGGAGTCGCAGATGGCAGGTGCTCATATAATTAATAAAGCCCGGGCCAAATGATGATTCCAGTGGCCAAGTGGGTTAGACAAAGCTGAACTGGGCCAGCTATTTGGCCATGTCGATGTGCCTCAAGAAGCCATTGATGTTGTCGTTTGCCATTATGCACAGATAATGACCGATATCAGCGGGCAGCGAAACAGCCTAGTCACCATTGCTAAAGGATTTTTGGGATGGGCTGGTCGGCCCGATAATCACGATCATCAACTGTTGCAAAAACTACAACCCAAAACTGGTTTCCCTGCAAAACAATGCCCATAAAATTCTTGTAGCATGAATCTGCCAGACTGTCCTTGCCTCTAGGTTTATTTACAAAGGCTTAAATAGGGAAAGGCTAGGAGGGAAGCTGACAAAGGAATACTAGCCAGAGGGCTTTAAGTAATTCTTAAAAATGTTCCTTTAAAGTCAGCTTATTTATATCTTACCTCTTCATTATTTACGATAGTTGTCACATTTTTAAAATCAAAAACGTTTTCGTAAATGATTTGTGCTGCTTCCATCATCTAGAAAACCAATAATCAGAAGCAACCGGTTTCTTATGTCTCGCATAAAATTAATGATACATGAACCTGCAGGTCTGTCCTTGGACTATCCTGCTTCCTGGGTTTTTCCAAAAAGCTTTAACAAAAAACTAGCCAGCAGGAGGAGCAAAAGGGGAGGGGTGGAGACGAGTGGCTAATTTGGCCAAGTTAACGCAGCCACAACGATGAGCACGAAACCAGTTCTGTGCACGTAAACCGCAGCGAGTCCCTTGTTGTTGCCTTCATCACTACCGTTTCCACTGCCACTTAACAAAATATGTAAATCATAATCTTGGACAAAATAAAACAAAATAAAATAAGAATTAAACGCGCAACGGGTAATTGCTGATGGGACAGTTTTGGCTCTAAGAGCTCGATTAAACCCACAATAAATTACGAACTCAAACTGTTTGCCTGGTGGCTTTTTCCGCAACTTCAACAGAATTGGCCAGGTTATTGGCATTCCGAAATTTGCAACGCTACGCCTGATTTACACGATTCAACTAATATGACATTTCGCACCCGCAACGAACATCAATGTGTAGTAGAATTAAAAGCATGCAAATATCGGTGACTATATAGATATATATATTTATATCCACGTATATTCTGATCTGGCTAAGCGTAGGCGCGGTTTCGCCTTGGCCAGCATTAGGTTGAGTTTGTGTGCCTCGTTGATTAACAGGGAAATGCTCACGGCGCGTAAATCAAACACAGATCGAATGCGTTTTGCTTCTACCGACTGATCCATGGTCGGAGAAGGTGCTAATACATACATATATATACTGCATAAACCATAATAACTAATTTTTTGATTACCCTGCACTTTCAGCTGCCAACATGTCGGTCAGACTGAACGAGACGACAACCATTGTTGACCGGATGGTCAACTTCTTCGTGGAGCACGAGGATCTGCGAACCAAGGTGGGTAACTATAATAGTTCTCGATCTAAATCTTATAATATATCTTGCCTTTGTAAAACTCTTACTGACTTTCAAAATAAAACTTGCAGTTTCTACAACTCTTTATAATATATTCACTTCAATTTATGTTAAAATTGATCTTGATTTTTTCAAGGTGAAATTTAAATATGAGGTTCATTGGTTCTTTAGAGATTTGACTTTAGCTAAACAAAGAACTTGTTTATTAATTTAGGCAAAGACATGAATAATAGAAAACATGACGTTGATAAATATATTTTATTTAATATTTTAATCGATCTCTAATTTATTTATTTCAGAGCTGGTTCCTCTCGAATGCCCCCGGACCGCTGTTCATGATCCTGGGAGCCTACCTGTACTTCTGTCTGTACGCAGGACCTCGTTACATGCGTGATCGCAAGCCTTTTGAGCTAAAGAACACTCTTCTGATCTACAATGCTGTCCAAGTGCTCTTCAGTTGGGTGCTCTTCTACGAGGGATACAAGGGCGGCTGGGGTGGTCACTACAACTTCAAGTGCCAGCCGGTGACCTACGAATCGGATCCCATTTCCATGAGGGTATAAAAGTCTTAGCCTTCTCAGCTTTTGTAAACTTTAAATATAATTTTTATCATCCATTCTAGATGGCTCGTGCCGTGTGGCTGTACTACATTGCCAAGATCACCGAGCTCTTGGACACCGTGTTCTTTGTCTTGCGCAAGAAGCAGCGCCAGATCTCGTTCCTCCACTTGTACCATCACACTCTGATGCCCGTGTGCGCCTTCATTGGTGTTAAGTACTTTGCCGGTGGCCATGGAACCTTGCTGGGCTTCATCAACTCCTTCATCCACATCATCATGTACGCCTACTACCTGCTCTCCGCAATGGGACCCGCTGTGCAGAAGTATCTGTGGTGGAAGAAGTACATCACCATCCTGCAGATTGTAAGTGGTTTATCGTTTTCAGTTTTCTGAATTGTTCTTAATATTTTCCTCTCTATGATAGGTCCAATTCCTGATCATCTTCGTGCACACGCTGCAGATTCAGTTCCAGCCCAACTGCAACTTCCCCAAGTCGATTGCCGCACTTTTAACCTTCAATGCTGGCCTTTTCACCTACATGTTCAGTGCCTTCTATGTGGCCAACTATAAGAAGGAGGCGGCTGCCCAGGCCAAATTGGCGGCGAAAAAGGAGTAGGAAGCGACGTTAGTTGGCGCTACCTTAAGCTATGCACATTTATTTTTATGATCCCTTCAAATCCCTGAATCCCCATCCCTATCCCCGAGTCCCCATTCCCAAATCATATCCTCCCCCTAGAGTTATACATAGGTCAAGATGGATATTATACAATCTGTAGTTGCGTAAGCTTGTTTCGTAGTATTTTGTTAGTTCGAGGATAGCGGCCCCTTTACTTGTACTTGTTTGGATCAGTCGCCATTGCAGAGTGCAAGAGATGTCTGCACTTTCTGTATTGGGATAGTGTAATAGTACCAAATATTATAGTTTAGTGATTAGACTTTATCCTATGGACTGTGAAAGTCGAAGTCAAGGTTGGACAGGCGAATGGCAGGTGTAGATTCGGAGGACTCTGAACTTTTGCCTGTATCGAAACCACCAAGCAGAACTGTCCCACTTTGTAATGCCCAATTTTATGATGATGAAATGTAATTTTTTATATTTTATTTGCAAACAATAAAAAACGATTCATATGTAAAAAATGTTTTGCCTTTATCAACTTGATATAACTTTCGTGGACCATCTTCTACATGATTTATACACTCATGTTACCTAAAAGTATGCTCTAAAATAAATCCTAAAGATACAATCTCTGTCGCATCATCTGAAAGTTTTCATTCTTTGTACTGGCTTCAGTCTCATTTTTATTGTGGTTGGAATAACAACATCCCCAGCTCAGTTGATAAGAAACCTTGATAATTTTTAATAACAATGGAAAATGAGACTCTGCTCTCGCGAAATGCTGTACCAATCATAGACTTGGGAAACTTCCCTAAGGATGTGGCTAAAAACCTGAGGAAGGCTCTTTCAGAGAAGGGTTATGCTCTGCTTATTAACCACGGAATTTCTGATGAGAAGGTATCTAATTAAATCAAAAGCCTGATAATCAAAAACCTAATCTAAAACTACTTAGATCAAGACAGCTTGGAAGTATTTCGATAGATTTGTGGAGTTACCTGATAAGGTGAAATCATTATACGAAAGAAGCAAAGCTCCAGATGCAGAAAATCATGGTTATGTTAGCCCGGGAATGGAGCGATTTGATGGCAGGACACCGGAACTAAGACATGCTTACAATATATGTAAACTGAAATCGGAATTTCTTCCCGAAAAGCCAATGCCAGGATTCACCACCCATATTAACTCCTTAACGGATGACTTTAATGCCTTGGGTAGATTTATTCTACAAGCCTTGGCGCTTTCCTTAGAAGCACATCCATCATTCTTTGTTGATAAGCACTCCTACATGTTGTCCGATGATCGCTTCAATCTCACCACCCTGCGAATGCTTTACTATCCTCCAGTGAATGATCAAGATTATGGAAATACAATTCGATGTGGAGCCCATGCTGACTACTGTACTTTTACCTTGCTGGCACAGGATTCGGAGGGAGGATTGGAGGTCAAGTTGCGGGGCAGTGAGAAATGGGAACGAGTGGGGCATCTGCCAGGAGCACTCTTCATAAACTGTGGCGAAACTATGGCTGTATGGACAAACCAGCTCTATCACGCATTGGTATGGATATTAACTTTATTTCAAGGTACCTCAATATCAAAATGATTTCGATCTAGCAACATCGAGTGGTCGTTCCCAATCAGGTTGAAAGTCGCCATCGAGCCAGGCGTTCCATTGCCTACTTCTGTCATCCTGATAGTTCAACACTTATTGATCCAAAAGAGTTAAATATGACAAATGCTGATGCAAAAAACGAAAAGTAAGTAGGGTTTTTAAAATTATTTACGGATTTCCTACACTTTGTTTTATTCTTGCTTTTAGGATATACAATGCTTACGATATATGTATGGCTTTGGCAAAAAATGCATATGAGCATAATTATTAATAAGAAAATTTCAAAACGCTTAATAGATGATCATATTGTAAAGAACTCAACGCAAATTAGAGATAATTTTCTAATAAATACTTGTAAATTTGTACCTTTATGCTCTTAAGCGACTTGGCTTAGACTTCGCTTTGGCAGCAAATATCTACAATTACTCTTAAACTGTATTATTTTTAAACCCCCTAAAGTATGCAATAAAATCCGTGTATTCTCTTAGAAAAAATGTAGGTAGCAATTAGAGAAAAATGAAAATGCCTTAGTCTGTTTGGGTCAGTCTGTCGGAGAAGCTTGTCGTGTTCACATCGGTTATTCAGAGTTCTCAGTTATCAGAACCATTCCAGAAGCAATCTTTTTCGTATTTGATTTACCTCAGCGGGGATTTTATTTACCAAGAATGATAAACAGCAAGATAAGAGAGGACAAGTTGGAAACGCTTGTATCGCGAAGTGCTGTGCCGATCATTGATCTCGCCCACTGCGGTAAGTTTCCATATCCCAGCCCATTTAAATAAATTGAATTTAATAAACAAAAATTACAATCTAACGGAATAACATTACTAGCATTTATGTACAGTGGGTGTGCCCAAAAAAAGCCACCATCCCTAAACATAATTTATTTGATAAGGGCATTGATAAGCCCAATCAAACATTAGAATCAAGTGTAATTGAGATTAATGATGAACTGATATTATGATTAATTAAATTTCTTGGTGAGGAATAAACAATAGCATATTTTAATCGGCACTCTCTGTTTCCAGGCAAATCCCTCGTCAATCGTGTTGGCCAGCAACTGCATAAGGCTTTTACCGAAAAGGGAATTGCTTTCCTGGTTAACCATGGTTTAGCAGAAGACAAGGTGAGTTGGGATGGCTGTATAATATACATTCTCTTATTCTTTGTACACGCCACAGATCAAAGCAGTATGGGATCAGTTCGACAACTTCTTGGATCTCCCAGCAGAAATTCAGGATCGTTACAAGCGAAAAGATGGAGTAAACTATGGCTATGTTAGTCCTGGAGTAGAGCGATTCAATGGAATTACCCCAGAACTCCGACACACCTACAATATTTGCAAACTGGACGACAAGAATATTCCCAAAGAGTCTTTGCCAGAATTCGCAGAAGATATAACGACTTTATGCAACGATTTGAAAACCATTTCTTCGTTTATACTGAAAGCCATGGAGGTAGCCTTGGAGATTCCGCCGTCCTTCTTTATTGATAATCACTCCCAGATGTTGGAGGGAGATGATTTGAACATGAGCACCCTGAGGATGCTGTACTACCCGGCCATTGTCGATGATGAACCGGGTCAGAGTGAGGGCGCTATTCGTTGTGGTGCGCATGTGGACTATGGCACCTTTACCCTTCTCGCCCAGGATTCTGAAGGTGGCTTGGAGGTGCAGCTTCCGGGTAGCGAGAAATGGGAAAGAGTGGGCCATCTACCTGGAGCCATACTCATAAATGGCGGGGAACTCCTATCAATTTGGACAAAGCAGCGCTACCACGCCTTGGTAGGTTATTCCTCTTAGCTGGAAAATTTCCCTAAATTTTATCTTTTGTTTTGTTATGTATCCTTTTCCCAGCCACATCGCGTTGTTATACCTGAACAGGATCACATACGAACCCGCGGTAGACATTCCATCGCCTTTTTCTGCCATCCCAATAACTCGACCGTGATATCTCCCACTGATCTCTCGGGTGAATCACACAGACCGAGTGATGAGAAGTAAGTTTTATTATATTTATAATATTATCATTTTTGACTTGTTTTTCTTTTCACGATCCTAAGAGTATACACCGCCTATGAACTGATACAGAAAAAGTTTAATGACACCTACGGTCAGCGATCTCAATAAATCAACGAATCTGGGCCAAAAGTTTATAACAGCTCTTGCCATATGGAAATGATTAATTATTACAATTATAGCAAATTGTGTCTTTTTTATTAAGTAAAGATGAAATTTATAGTTTTTGATATGAAATAAATTATGGCATTTGAAAATAGAAAATTTCAGATAAAGCTAAGGTCCACTTTTTAGAGTATAAATAAATATTTAGTATCTAGTTTTATTTTTGTAATTATTTCAAAATTCCTAAATTTTACATTTCTATCTACCTTAAACCTAACGTAAAAATAATTTACTTATAATACTAAAATGTTAACAGCCCCTAAATGATCGTAGGGACATGTAAAAATATCGATATTACCCATAACAGCAACTACCGATAAATATGTTATCGCTTTCGAACTGGATCCGAACGTTCGAAGATTTGATCGCGGATCGCAATTGTTTTTTTTGAGTCGCGACGAGTCGCGACAGACGCCGTTCCTCTCTGCGCTAGTTCAGGTGTATCTAGGTTAAATTCGCGAGTGGAGTGAGTGTTACAAAATGATGGAAAGTGTGCAAAAAAGGCATCAGAAAGCGATCCCAAAATTGACTAAGTAGATTGTTGGCCAACAACTGGTGTGCTGCTGGTGCTATATCGTCTCGTCGGGTCGGGTGTTCGATGAAAAGCGAAACCTGTGCGAAAATAGAAAGCGAGTTTTCACTGTAAGCAAAAAATAAAACAAAAAAACCCATCAGTGTATAAATCACTAAATTTAAGCTGAATATGCGCTTCTCGAGTAGTTTTTATACATAAGTAGAGTAGTGAGTGATTTGTTCGTTGGAATAAGGTTTTTGCAACGAAAGGCGAGGCGAACGCTTACTCATATCCATACCCCTGAGACCCCGACCCCGAACTCGAACCCAACCCCTTAAAACCAAGCGAATCCATGCAGACTGACTGACTGACTGGAAGGCCAGACTTTGTTCATCCGGCGGAGCGGCATTTCCTGAACAAAAGCCGCCTGGCAACAGAGAGATCGCTCAGCTGGTTCGGTTTCTTTCGTCTTTTTGTTTTTTAGGGGGTGAAAAGGTAGACAGGAGAAGGAGGGGGAGGAGGGCTCACACCTGAGTCCGAGTGCCGTTAAACGGCAAACGGGATCTGCCAGATACAAAATACCAAATACAAGATATAAGATACAAGATACAGACTCACACCGCAACCAGAGTATCTGTATCTCATACATATATACTCGAATGTATCTATATATATACGAATGAATTTAGGTATGTGCATATGTACCTGAGCCACGTTAATAGCCATCACAAATATTGCGAAAGCAAACCGAGACGGGGCTACCTGTTGACGGCTTTAGATAGTCTCACCTTTCGGCCCTGCTTACCATAAGCTGGAATACCAACTGTGCTTTACCAAGTACTGAGCTCTAGAAAATCCCAACCGCCAACCCTTCTCCCCCCCTCGCAGAACGACAAGTGCTAATTTAGTTATCACAATTTTTGATTTGATTAAATTTTATCTAATTGCGACGCACATACTCAGGCATACCATACAATACACCCCGGTCGCACAATCAGTTGGTTTTTGCAAAATAAAATCGTAAACTGAGGCAAAATTGTAGCCAGTCAGGTGCGATAAGCTTTGGAGCCCAGAACTTGGAACCCTCTTATTAAAAAAAGAAAACCCGGGTGCTCATTCCGCCTAAGAAGCGCGTCGCGATTGTTCGATCGCCTCTCGTCCGCCACGCGCCCTTCTAAAATCACCAATCACTTAGGCACCCGTTCGTATTTCGTTTTACGGATCGGATCGTAAACCCCCCTATACCATACCCTTTCCCCGAAAACCGCTGTCAAATCGTTTGCTCGCTAGCCAAACAAAAACAATAGACGTTGCAAAAACAAAATACGAAAATTTAAACAAAAATACAAATAAAAAAGAAGCACACTTGGATACGCGATTTGTTTGTTTTTTATCTCCTCTGCTGTCGGCATAACCAGTCTAATAATCGAATTCTGTGTCTTGCTGTCATTCAGTTTTATACAGTCAGCCATCGCTGGAAGTGCACTCCGTCTTTTGGATCCCGGTTGCCCCTCCGGTCTCTTCCAAGTTTTGTGATAAAGATAAAGCGAGCACAAGTGCGGCGAGTGTTCGATTGCTAAATACAATCAAAAAAAAAATAAAAAAACCAAAGAACTTTAGACGTCGAAGAGCCTCTGGAAAGTAAAACAGAAATCAACACACATACAAAATGATAAAAACAAAGAGCAGCGACGACAAACTCGACACCCTGCTCTCACGCAGCGTGGTTCCGATCATCGATCTCGCCCACTGTGGTAAGTACCCCTCTCCTATCCCAACAGCACCACCCCATAACATACCACACCATCCCATTCCATAAAGCATACGCCTGATCGAGAGGCACTTCAACTCGTTGCTAGGGCAGCATTTCGTGCACAGTGAAAAAAAGCCCGGGACTCGGCCATCAATGAACAAGTTTTTCCATTCAAAAATAACACTTGACTGCGAGTTGTCTCGGAAAGGTGAAAATGATTAGGGAGTTCCCGTCACGATTAATTTGTTGTGAAATATGAAACATCTGCAGGAGTTCTAGAAAAAAAATAAATTTGTTTGTTAACTAATTTTTTGTTCTGTGTATGTTAATATGACTCTTAATTCTACAGTTAATAATGGCCATAAAATCATAAGGCTGGGTAGCTTTCCATTTTTAATCACAGGCTTAAAGTTTATATTGGATATAAAGTTTGTTCTATAAACAATGTTGTACAACGTGAATGGTTAAATTCTTAAGAAACAAATATGAGTGGGTTTGTGATAAATATGTTTTAATCATTGAAATTACCATATAAACAGAATTTCTTCCCAAAAATCCAATGATTCATGTATTAATAGGCTATAAATACATTTTTTTGCTTGCTCTTAGGAATTTCCAATGTTTGTATTAATATTCACACTTCTTATTAAATGATAGAAATCTTCTAATAATGTTGATAAGATTTAGATAACTTGAGTGGTAATGTCTAAAAATAAATAATATTTTTAGGTTTTTCTCGATGCACTTGAAAGCCCCACAGTCATTAGGGCTTAATTAGGTGCAGTTGGCATTGAGTCATTGCCAGTTCTGTTTGGCTGACTATTCCCAATTGTTGAAGGCTAACTGGGCTCCCTTAATTGCAGTTACTTAATTTTCGTTCGTGGTGCTATAACTACGTCGTAGTTAATTAGAATTAATTATTGACTTGTGCAATCGACACTTGATCTCTGGCAGCTGGGATTTCTGTGGGAATACAAATTAAAAATGCAAATCTGATCTACAAAGTTGGCCAGGGGGAATTCTGACTAAGAAATTACGTACAATTTCTACCTTATGGCGTGAACTCAACTAATTGAAAGTTGATAGTTAATCTATGAAGTACTTTTAATAGAACACTTATGTATATGTATGAAAACCGGCAAATATCACGCTGTTATAGCCTGTTATTTGATTGCGATTTCTTGGCTATCATAAATCATGAGTAATTTTTGAGTGATTGTTCTCTAAATCAGTACGGGTTTGGATTTATATATATTTATATATTATATTTATATATATATATAGTATACTTGCCCTGTTATAGATCATAATAAAAGTGACACAGAGTCGACGAAATAGGTAATACTTGAGAGATATAAATATTTATAAATATGTGTATAATAAATATTTATAAATGCATTGAAAAATCACTACAAGTTTTATAGATTAATGTAGACTAATCTAGTGCAGTCTTTCTGATTTCTAAGAAAGAATATATTTCCAGCTTATGTTGACTTTTTGTTTGTGTATCTGAGATTACCAAGAAGATACTTGGATAACCTTTAAGATACCTGGGTTAAAATTCGTTTCACCAGATTTAATGTCTCTTGTTTGTTCTTCAGCGGTTTCTTTTGCCCTTCTTTGGCCACACCAAAAATTTTCCATTTGCCTATTTTGGAAGCCGTGCCCATTGTGTTAACTGGGTCTTTGCCGATACGTGACACAGTTTCTCCTTCTCTCGGGGTAATGCGCCATGGAAAAGTGTTATGCCTGCTTATCTGGTTATGTGGATTCGAGCCGAGGGCTCACCCAGTAATTCGAGTTCACTTTAAGTACAGTACAGTGCGACTTGGCCTTGGCGGAAGCACTCTCTTGACCTTCTCGTCCATCCAAAGCCATTGACCCCCAAAGCAGCTAGAAGCAATTAAATCGCTGCCTTGCGGCATTTTTATGTCAACGGAACTTCAATTGGATTTTTTCTTGCCTCTGTTTTGTTTATTTTTTTGTTGCTGTCGTGGGCCCCGAGAGTTTTTTGAACTATTTATTGGAAATCAGTAATTTGTGGAATGTTTTGATTTCTATGAGGGTCTATTGGGGTCCCAATGTCATTATAGTCAGAGTGCGGAAACTCAAACAACAACACGAAAAAAAAACGCATCAAAATATTTACAATTATTTGAGTTACGAAACCTGATTTTGTTGTGAATGCAATGAGCAGAGTGAATTATTTGTTCACTGGTTGCAACTTTGTTTACACACAGCCGGTGACCAATAACCAGTATTCGGAGTTACCAGTTTGGAAAACGTCCATTTAGTGACGCATATTGTTTGTTTTTTTTTTTTTGGTGGGGCTTTGGGGATTCACTCGACAGCGTCATAATCAACGGACCTCACCTTGTTTTTTATATTTGGAATAAATAAATGATACTACCGAAATACGATGATCCAACGGCAGAGCCAGCATGTTAAGTAGTTGGACTTTTGCCGCAAAAACCGATTGAAACCAGCTTAAACCTGTTGATTCTTGGCTTGGATGACGTGCCTGGCGCTTTGTTTAATGGCCACAATCGCTTTTTTGCTGCCTGTTTGTCGCCATCTGGAAATACGTAGAAATTTGCCAGCTTGGCTTTAAACGGATTTCTCTTGACCCCAGCCCCCAGCACAGTCAGTTAAAGCCAACAGAATGTTGATTTGAATTAAGTTCTCTTGACAAATCAAATTGACAGCTGGCCAAAACGAAATTTGCAACCTTCAACACATTGATGCTAAGTTTTATTCAGATTCGATAATGTTATTCTGGCCAATTACCTCGATGCCGTTGACTTCTGTCCGCATATTTCAATGCCATTGAAATTATATTTCCATTAGCCCGACATCTGCATTTCCCTGCCCTACCCCCTATTCCCCATTTAAGCCTCTTTCCAATAGCCGCCGTTCAGTTGTCTATAAATAAGTTATACTGCACAGCCATATTTCTCAGCGAAAATTCCGCAACTAAATTGGCCGCATATATCTATATCGGAGAGGAGTATGTACATATGTATGTACACGCTCAAATGGGTCTATAAATATTGAATTGAATTAATTCAACCGAGGGACTCAAGTGGGGTATCGGAATCTATTTGTGGATTATGTTTAAGGGGTTTTTCCCGCATGAGTATGTGGAAATTTCGATAGATACAAAAGTTGAAAACAAAAATCAAAAAGACCTTCAAGGAATTATCTCCTCAATTTGTTTTAAAAACATTTTCTTGTACTTTCACTTATTTTTTCCAAGTGCAAGAAGAGTTCAGTTGCCCATCGCAATTAAATTACAAGTATACAGAATCAAAAGGCGTTGAAAGCAAACAATAGAAATGCTTAACGCGTGCCCGCAATTTATGTCTGACCATAAATGCATAAAAGCCAATCAATTTCAACGATAAATTTGTACAACAAAACGCCAATCAAATAGAAAACACAATAAATTTAAACGGGGGAAAACAAATCGAGACAAGTCGAGAATTTCTGGCAGCAGCAACGATCCCAATTGAGAGAGATGATCTTCAAGCGGTTTGGCCTCCTCTATAGAGTACATCTACTGACTCAATTAGATAAATTAGCGACAAGTTAGCACTGACAACTAGCTGCCTCAAAAGTGAATAAAAACAAAAACAACAAAAATTGGCAAATTGAAAAGCGACTCGCATCCCAATTGCCGCCTAATTGAATTGCATGCTAGCAGAAACCGACAAAACCGCACGGAAAACGAGCAAAACAAATAATAAAACTGGACCGACGGTCTAAATGAAAACGAAAGGCGATCCACGGCTGCTGTCGTCAATTGGAATCATTCAATTCGCCCGGCTAACCGACCAACTGACCTCTCCGCCGCCTCATCATCATTCCGGACATCATCGGGCCTACCAGTTGAGCAAACAATAATAACAATGCGAGTATTTCCCGCCTGGCGACAGAGCTCTCTTACCCGGAATGAGATGTGATAAGAAAGCGTAATTGTTATTATTTGTGAAATGCTACCCTTATCAGTTGGCCGAAGGCAGTGCGTCACTAACCAAATCGGGAGCTGAGGGCAGGCCACCCAGAGGGTAACTTCCAGTAGTGCCTAGGAAACCTATTTATAGATTGCGCATACGCCCGGTGTGACAGGGTGACACTTACGGGGAAGTATATATACATATATATATATATAATTACTTTGCATTCCCCGATTTCATTCATGACTTGTCCCTCGGTGAGTAAGTGATCACATTAGTGGGCGACAGCAAAGTGTCTGACATGGCTGGTGGGAAAAACCACAACCCTTCTTCCAGATATCTGCTATCTTGTTGAAAGTACAAGTTTGGTGCGCCAAATGGTTGGCGGGCTGGAACGCCATCCTCGCCACTTCCGCTGCGGCTTTTCCGCACATATTTTCTATTTAATTTTCCGCTGTGCATTGTCAATGCCGCCGTTGCATTGAAATTGATTGCATTTACCTTTATTGCACATTATCGAGCTCGCATTTTGCCTGCCATTGCGATTGTCGGTTATTTGAGATTCCAAGTGCACGATTATCTCAGCCAAAGTGAGGGGCTTGTAGGCGGCACGTGGATGTGTACGCCTCTTAGCCACACTTCTTAATGGGCCATGACATTCGAATCAATGGCCAAGTGTTCGCGAGCCAGCTATTTATTGCCTTTTGGCCATAGAGTGTACAATCTGCCATAAACACTACCCCATACTCGTACTTTATGATGGCCAGGTGGAAAACAATTCGAAGAAGCCATAAAATAGCAACCACAAAACAATTAGCGATTAAGTGGCAGTTCCGCTGGTTATTCCCACGCCCACTAATCTCTCTTTATCCTGATTCTGTTTATTCTAGGTATCGAGGAGGTGCCGGTCAAGTCCGTGGTCAACCGCGTGGGTCACCAGCTGAAGAAAGCTCTCTCCGAGAAGGGCATGGCCCTGCTGGTCAACCATGGCATATCAGATGAGAAGGTAAGTTAAGATTTGTAAGTTATTTGCTTTTTAACATCATAAATGAAATAAAATTTGAAAATCAAATTCCTCCAAATTTATTCAACAAGGATAATGTTTTTTTCGTTTTTTATTCTCCATTTTACGTCAAACGTTATCAGTAATCTTCAAATCTTAAATCTCAGTATATATATATATAAATTTATTATATACTTTTCATATCAGCTTGATAGAAGTTGAACTTAATAAATAGTTTCAGTTCCAAGGTCCCATATCACTTGAGATTAAAAAGAAATGGAATTTCAAGGTTAACGCTTTCTTATATACTAGAACCTGACAATAAAAACTATAAAGTTACATAAGTTTAGTTTATAAAAAAAAGAAATTATAAGAATTAATATTCTCCCTTCTCTTGGAACAGCTTAAGACTGCCTGGGATCACCTGGATGACTTTGTGGACCTCCCACCGGACGTCCGACAGCATTACATCCGCACGGATGGAGACAAACACGGCTATGTGAGTCGTGGACAGCAGCGTTTCGATGGCAAGGCACCGGAATTGCGTCACGCCTTTAACATAAGCACACTGAACGCCCAGAATCTGCCCGAAGAGCCGCTGCCAGGATTCGCGGACCACATCAGCACCCTGGCCACGGACTTTAAGGCTTTGGCCAGCTTCATCCTGCAGGCGCTGGCCGTCTCGCTGGACATTCCGCACACGTTCTTCCTTGAAAAGCACTCTCACATGCTGTCCGGCGACCACGACAACATGAGCTCCCTGCGCATGCTCTACTATCCGCCGATAGTGGACGACGAACCCGGACAGAACGATGTGATCAAGGGTCGCTGCCAGTACAGCTACCAGCGCTGTCTGTCCAACCAGCCAGACTTCCGGCCGGAGCACAATCCCCGCGACGAAGACGACCTTAACGAGGTTGATGGACCCAATGGTCAGTTGTTTGAGCACAAGCTGGGCAATGGAGCAGTGATCCAGTGTCCACCACATGTGGACTACGGCACATTCACTCTGCTGTCCCAGGACTCGGAGGGTGGTCTGGAGGTGAAGCTGCCAGGTAGTGAAAAGTGGAACCGTGTGGGACATCTTCCCGGCTCCATTCTTGTCAATTGTGGCGAGATCTTGAACATCTGGACACAGGGGCGATATCCCGCATTGGTGAGTATCTAGTTGGTGTGGTTTTTAGAAGTTAGTTTCTAGTTTGAAAGTTAAACTGGCTCATTGATAAAAAAGTATGTTAAGTTATAATACCAGACTTTTCTAGGCAGCAAGTTAGAGTAAAATTAGGTTTTATTTGTTTTTACCAAAATAGCTCTCAAAATGTTGCATTATCATTGTTAAACACAACTATTGCTTTAGGCACAGCTGAATGAATAATGTTTTAAGCAAAAGAATAATTTGTTGAACAAGTTAGATCAGTTTAAAAGCTGTTTTTGATAAGCATACTTTACTTTACAACTGAAATTGAGGAAAACAATTTTCCCTGTTGCCTTATTCCTGATTGTTATTGATTTCACACTGGTTTAACCCCTTTAAGCCTTTCAGATTTATGAAACCCAGTCTAATCTACTTTTTTATTGTTACCCCCAGCAACATCGCGTGGTCATACCCGAGCAGGAACACATTCGTGCCCGTGGCCGTCATTCGATAGCGTTCTTCTGCCATCCGGATAACATAACCATGATATCGCCAACCGATCTGCCCAATCCCGATGCCGCCCAAGACAAGGCGTGTCTGAAGCAGCGAAAGAAGTCCTTCAAGGCGGCGAAAGAAAGGTGAATTGGCAATCGAAATTTATTGCCATTTCCTGTACTAATTCACATTTCTTTCTCTTTCTTTCTATATTTTACTTGGCTTATCGCTGGCGAATATTGGTGGCTATAAATTTAACAGAGTCTACAATGCCTATCAGTTAATACAGAAAAAGTTTAGAGATACGTATAGCAATAACAATCACTCATAACGACCATAGACCGTCGAGCCATCATCCATCGCATCTCTACCTGAACTGGGATGAAGTTCGTTGTACGTCGTGGAAAACGGAAACGGGGGGAAATGGGAAAATGAAAGGCAGCCAACACATATGATGTTTTGAACCTTTTTATTATTACCTTTACTTTTATTCTTTTATTCCATACGATTGTAATTGCTTCATTTCATTAATTTATATGTATCGAGATACTATATACAATACATGCATACACCGTAAACATATCCCTTTGTATAATAAATATATATGTATAATTTAATATAGTTTCCACTGAAAAACGCACATGTTAACATTTACTTAAGTCGAGGGGGTTTTCTTTTTCTTTTTGTTTTCCTTTTGCTCATGAAACTTGGAAGGTATCTGAGTACAATTCCGAAATTGACCGACAATCGACCACAAGATCTGTGCTAGCTTTTACTTTTTTTTCGTTCGTTTTTTGTTTTTGGTTTTGTAAATATTTTTCACAAGTTAATTAACATTTGCCTCTGGTTGTCACATTTATTTGTATTTTTTATTTAATGCCATGCGGCCGAGTTACGTATGAATATATGAATTTCGCATTAATTTGTAATTACCTTCATGTGGTTTGCTTTTAAAATTCTCTTTTTATTTTTTCACTTTTTAATGCATTGACTTCTATTAACATGCATAATACATACAATATTTAACAATTATTCGACTACCCTTTATTATTAGACACTCAGTTTGTATTTTTTGTTACAAAATAAGCTTTAGCCCGGCGTTTCTGTTGGACATTTAATTATTAATTTTTGTTTGGCTTCGATTTTCGATTACTATGAGTGCATTTGAACATTGAGCCTCTTTCAGCTGTTTTTGTAATGTTTGTTGTATCTTAGGTACTTTGTATTTCTACCAGCAACATTCACTGTCAAAAATGAAATGAATCAGTCATATAAGATCATATAATACAGTCGCTGGCAGAATTAATAGTTGCTCAAGTCATTGTCATCCATGGAAAAGTAATGGGAACTTATCTTGAGATTGCATCATGGAATGACTCGCCAGCATACTTTTTCCAGCGACTGTAATCGTCGTGAGCTTTACCTAATTGCCATAATTTAATTATTTACTTTTTCGACATTAACGCGAACTTTTTAGTTTGCCTTTATTTCAAAGTCACATGCTCCCATGAGTTGACATGCCAATTTGCGGTTAAACTAAATCGTATTTTTGTTAATTATGGCATTTTGTTGTTGTTGTTGTTGTGATTGTTATTGCTGCTGTGATCCAGGTGGTTTACAGACACGTGCCACAGTTTTTCGAAAAAAATACCCTAATTTGGGGTATAATTAAAATGAGGAAATACGAAACCTAAAAATAAGGAAATTTTTGTGTTTTTTTATACAGCTGTGTTTGATTAATGTATTTTTCAATAAAATTTAGAAATAATATTTAGTGATATAAATGAAATATAGATGGCGTTATCTTAACACAGCTGTATTCAGTTTGCTTTATTTCCTCGTTTAACTGATGCACCGCCTACGAAAGTGCAATGTACTTGGAAACAGTTGTGGCAACAAAGATATCGCTTATGTAACCAAAAATAAATATATTTAAGTTATTTTAGTTTAAAAGCAAAAATGTTAAACTGTTAAAGAGCATTCGCTTTTTGTACTTCAACGTCTTATCGTTGGACGTTAATTTAGTTAACAATATTTGGCTACATTTCAAATGTTATCAACGCTGCTGACTGCCAACTTTTTCCTGGGCGTTCCGCAGTTTAAACAAAGTGCCGAGAGTTAAATAAAGCAAATATTGACACGCCCATAGAAGGAGCGAAGGGAATGGGGAGGGGTGTAGGTGTAATCACGCCGACAGAGACGGGGAGATTCTCATTTGTCGACGGCGGTGAGCTCTTAAGCCGGCGCTTTAAATAATGACTGTGAATCGTAAGAAAAAGTCGGCATAATATATATATATACAACGTATATATCTTTTTTTGCAACGATTTGATATTTTAGGCAAACAATTTTAGCCAGCTTTCCACTGAACCACCTTTGATTTATGGGCCGCTGGGGGGCGTGGCAGTTACTGATAATTTCTCTTATATATCTCATACTCAACTAATTTTTCGAGACGAAAGCGAAAGTTAACTAAAAAGGCTTTAAGTCTGAAAGTCTAGTTTATTGTGCTTCGTTAAGATTGTCCAGGCAGGAGAATAAATAGCATTTTTAGGAATTAGTCACACTCCCTCCAAAGATTACAAAACAGTTCCATGAATGTCAGTTGCATCTAATTGATAGAGAGAGAGAGACAGAGAGAGAGAGAGAGTGAGAGAGTGAGGTACACATACGCATTTAGCTACAGGTATAGTTCGTATATAATATATATAGCTCTATAGCGCTAATTCGACTACAACAACAGTGGTGGACTTAGAGTCGGGAAACATCAAAGTTGAGGCTAAAGACCCAATGGATATGTTAGTCGTGCTTTAGTTTTTCTCTATATTATATATATATATAAATAGTTTATACGAATGAATCTCTTTGGTTATGTATTATGACGTCTTTAATTGATTTTAATTTAATGAACTCGATTATCTTAATGCTTTGAACGAATCAAGTGAGCTTTGTCACTGCAATTTAAGGAATGCAGAATGCAGAGTTATACAAACAAATAAGAAAACTCTGCTATAAAATAACATTCAATTTGTGGGGGATTTAATGCAGTATTTAAGACCTGGTTGAGGATTTTGAGTATTTACAAAACTGCTTGTTACTGAATTGAAATAAATATTCAGTCTTTATTCGCTAGTCGAATAAAATAAACCAAAAATGTGAGATATTCAACCTAAATTTGGATATTTATAAAGTGCAGAAACGTTCTGTAAAAGATAAATTAAAAAGAATTAATCAACCAGACCTTCAACCTGCACTTTACCTACTTTTATTTTCATTTTTTCCCTTTGAGTATTATTTCAATGCATATCTCATATTTTATTTGGGTTAACATCTAGCTTTCTATATACGTATATCAAACACTCAATTCATATATCTATTTGCATGGGCAATTATAAACATCTCTTTTATGAAATTCCTGACTCCATGACACCTAAATGTGTATGTCGAAATATTTCTATTTATATATTTCAATTCATTTTGCACGTCAATTTGCTGTTCTTGAAGGCTTTCTTTAATCTGTGGGATTGTCGTATTGTTGCTGTTGCTGTTGCCGTTGCTGTTCTTGCTTTAGCTATTATTATTTGTGGTTAAATTCTTGATTTTAGCCCTCTTAGCAGCCATTTTGAGATATGTTTTTGTCGAGTAATTTATTTGTAAGCTGGCAATCTGGTTTTTCTTTTCTTTTTTTTGCTTTGTTAGAGAACACTTGCGCACTCATGAACAGACGTTTTTGTGTGAAGCACTGGAGATGAAATCAAGTATACGCCATGGTTTTTAGTTGCTGTAGAGTGGATGCAGCTGCTGCATTTGGGCATCTGTGGTGGGCGTGACATTGACGGCATACTGGCGGGCACGCATCACGCTCATGTGAATCTCCGACGAAGCCGTGGAGTTTACACAGTTGGGCAGCTCAGCGGAACCGGATCCGGCACGGGCTCCATTAGTTCCCCGACGGCTGGGACCACCGAACTCCAGATCCCGGTCATCATCCCGGCCCCTGCCGCGTCGGCAGAAGTAGAAGGCGTAGGGAAAAAGGCTCTGTGGGTTTGAAGAAAAAGAAAATGTACAAAAACAACTATCAGTGAGAACAATAACCTTGCTGTTTTCCTTTAGATTATACTATGTAATTTAATAGAGTTTTAGCTCGCTACTGTACAGCACTCAAAGGTTAAGCATACGCCGCGTGGGACGGTCGACAATCGACAGGGGGTGGTGGTAGGTGGGCAGTGTGGTGGCGGCACATGTCTGTGACAATTTGGTTTCACACAAAAAACAAAGGCTAAAGGGAGAAAGGGCAAAAAATACAAAAAAAACACACACACACACAAAAAATGCTAAACGAAATGAAAGGCCGCGCATTCGTACTAAAAAAAAAGGGACGAACAAGGACCCGTCCATGTGCCTCTGTGCCTGTGTGTGTATGTGTTTGTGTTGCTGGTGTGTCAAAGTGTGCAGCATAAAAGGGAGAATTTTTAGAGAAAGAATAACATTTCATCATCAGCATTTACGCTTGTGTGGAGAAGATGTAGGTGTGAGTGTGTGGGCATACACATACAAGAATATATATATATATATAGAAGAGGTTTCAGTTTTAATTTAAATATTACGTTTTATGCTTTCTGTTTTTTCGTTGCATACTTTGGCGCGCTTAGCTTTTGTTGGGCCATAGGCAACGAATCAGCACAGTTAGCGCCATCTGTGCGTGGAAAGAGAGATGGTAGTAGATGGTAGTATATGATGCTAAGTGGTAAGCAGAATGTTCAAGCGATTAGAAAGCCTTGAAAGCATTAGAACCTATTCATACTCCAAACCCAGGCCTATAGTACAAGACCCATCCAAAAGAGTAAAAAAGATAGAGAGTGACAGAAATAGAGGGAGAGAGCAGGCGATGGCAGGCAGGCATGTAGCAAGTAGCAAGTTGAGCAAAGAACGTGCAGAGTTTTCAGTTCTTCAGGCTAAATGGAAAAGCTAGTTTTCTTGCTTAGCAACCAGTAGATGAAGCATTTCAATCAGCTAATATGAACGCTACGCTTTCTACACTCTCCGCTGAACACAGAGCTGTACTGAGAAAAAACACTACTTGGTTCCCTTATTGGCTTTGTAGATTGTTCATATCAAAAATGTTTAAAAAATTAAATAAAAATTGAATTAAAGGCTCTTTGGGAAAAACAAAAATTGTATTTTAATATCTTTAAATATATTAAATCATTATATTTATAATATTTTAATATGAAAAGTTAGAATTTGAATGGCCAATTTAGGAGATGTTTTTCCTCAGTACACCCATGATGCCAATAGCTACCAAAATAATTGCTAAACGTGACCCTCTTCGGTTGGACGCTGCTGTTGCCGCGTCCGTGTTGCCAGTTGCCGTCGATATGGTTGCCGCTGCCGCTTCTGTGCATTGGGTGGTGGCCCTTTCCTTTGCGATAGCAGCAGTAGCCGAAGCCCTGTACTAAGTCTAAGGTGGTGCAGAGAATTCAGTTTTTTTTTTGTTTTTGGATGCCCGAACAAAGCGAAATTGAATAGAATAAAAGTCCCATCAAGATGTCGAAGTCGAAAATAAATGCAAATTACTCAATAGCCAGCCCGCAACTCACCTTTAGGGTCTTCTTGAAGGCGGCCCTGAAGTCGCGGTTGAAGTATGCATAAATAATGGGGTTCAGGGCCGAGTTGAAGTAGCCGATCCAAAACAGGATGCCAACGAGGAGGCGCGGGGTGATGCAACTATCGCACAGCGAGGAGACGATATACCTAAAGGGAAAGGAGGCGTAAGTTTCGACCTAAAATTAGCTAATGTTACGGTTTAAAGCAACTTAAATCCTTAAAAAAGTCATCCTAAATATTGGAAAATATTGTAAATGATCAAAAAACGTAAGTATATTCCTTTTTATAAGTTTAAGGCTTAAATTAATAACCCAAACTTAATTAAAAACTGCCCAACATCATAGCTTAAGAGTATTAGCCATATTTACGCCTAATTTAAGCCATCAAGTATACGCACCAGAGGAAGAACGGCAGCCAACAGATGAGGAAGGCGCTCATGATGATACCCAGGGTACGGGCGGCCTTGCGTTCCCGCCGCATCGTCGAGATGGTCGACTGCTCCACCTGAATGCTCGGTCGCGGCTTGGGAATTTGGCTAATCTGCAGATGCTTCTCGAGCAGCAGGGCGGCCACCTTGGATCTGTCGGGGCACACAAGTAATTAGCGTTAATTGGCAACGGGCAAATGAATGGGCCACTCGACCACTGGTTACCTGTACACCAAGCGCTCCTGACGGTCGGCCTCCTGGTAAATGCGGTAGTACATCGACAGCATCACGATGCCGGGGATCCAGAAGCTCATCGACGAGCTGACTATGGCGTACGCCTTGTTCACTTTGAACTCGCATATCTGGAAGGATGAAATTGCCATCGAAATCGGGAAATGCCGATTTGATGGGCAACTCAATTAGCGACTATCAATAAATCAAAATGGACGCGGAACAATGCGGAACCCTAATGGAGCGTAATGCTCCGCAATTGCCAACTGCGGCTGCCTGGCCAACGATGCGTATGAGCAATGGCAATGGCAATTGCGATGGCGATGGCGATGGCAATGCGATTACTGCAATGCCAAGTGCGACAATAAAAACTCAATTACACTGTGCATTACGGTGTTGGCATGACAAAAGGCCACCAGAAGACATCTAATCAGATTTACGACCAGGACGTTCTGTGCGTCCTGTGCTGCTGACAGTTATTAGCATAAACAAGTAAAACTAATTAAAGCCACTCCCACGCGCAAGCTAATGCTATGCAAAAGGACCCTCCAGCCAGGTGGAAAGCCCAAAAATTATGCACAGCCCGTGTGCTGAAGTCAGCCTCAATACGCGCACAAAAACCCGGGGAATGGAATTACCGACATTTATTTCTACATCAGCATTTTATTGCGCAATGATAACCGCAACGGAATGAGGCAGTAGCAGCTGCTGACGGGCAAGATATATATATAATATATATGTATATATCTAGATCAGAGAGAACTGCCTAGGAGCTTGGCAAGTATTTGCCGGGGAAACCAATAAAATGGAGTAATAAATATGCTACCTGTCGGCTGGCAGCCTGAAAGGCGTAAAACTGCTTCAGCCACACAAACATAAATCAATTTCCGTTGAGGCGGGTCGGGGAAAAGTCAAAGGCTGCCACACGGACGCCCACGTGGCTGATGCCATGCAAAATGCAGGCAAAGTCGATACCGTTTAAACTAAATTAGAATTTTCTATTAGTTTAATGTTCAAGAAAATTGAATAAATAATGCAGGCAGAGTCAAACAAATCTGCGGGGGCCTTAATGAAGTCTTAAGTATATTTAATTGATCAATTTAGTGCATTAAGTTTCTACTCACATGCGGATTCGATTTGAGATACTTGTAGTTCTCGGTCGTTGTGTACCATCCGGAGCAGATGGGCAGGAACGAGAGGAGCGCCGGCGACAGCCACACCATCAGAAGCATAATGAACACACGCCGCTGTGTCATGATTAGAGGGTAGTCCAGCGGTTGGACGATGGCGTAGTATCTGCGGGAAAAGTAAAACAGATAATGGATTTCATAAAATATATTTATGCCTTCAGAAGTCGGAACTTAAATTAGTTCGCAATGTCAAAGTAAGCCGGGACTCACCTGTCCACGGATATGCAGCACAGGTGCATGATGCTGGCGGTGGAAAAGTAGACGTCGAAGCTGTTCCACATATCGCACATCACGGATCCAAACATCCACTTGCCCGAGATCATGACGGAAGCATTAAATGTCATCGCACAGAGGGCGACCAGCATGTCGGCGACGGCCAAAGAGACCACAAAGTAGTTGGTAATGATGCTGCAAGGCGATGGAGAGAGAGAGAGAGAGAGTAAGAGCTGGGATAAAACTAAGCAGGAAGCCATACAGCCAGCCATTAAGAGATGGATGCCATTGCCTGAGTGCCATTCGAATCGAGATTGCCAAGTTCTCAAATTAAATTTGTGCATTAAGCTTTCAAGTCACTCACAGCTCACAGCGCTAATCGTTCTACTCAGACGTTCCTTTTCGAAACTTGAGTTGAGAAAACTTTTTGGGGCGCACATTGCGCATACGCCGCGTGTGACCGCCGTTTAATGTGGCATGGCGGTACTCTGAGTGGATTTCATTGTTTAATGGGTTAATTAATAATTAGCTTAACGCCACCACAACTTCCACCAGCGATCATCAACGTTGCGTGGCACCGCAAAACGTTAAGTCAATTAGGTGCACGCGGCGTATACGCAATGTGGAGCAGCAAATGCGTTTATCGGCCGTCAGAACTGATTTTCAAACAATCAGGCGTACATAACCCCATTCCAGAGATACAACCGCAACCGAATGGGTTGGTTGGCATACAAATTTAAAACCGGAATGTCTGCGGGGACTTGACTCGCAACACCACAACTTCTCAAATGAAAGTTTTGCTTTCAGACTAAACGGTTTAATATGCAAGATAAACTTTCGAATGAAAGAACTTTTGATCTGAACTAAAAGTGCATCAATCATGGATGATATATGCTGAATGCTTTTATAGTTTCCATCACTTTTTAGCTTATCTAGTAGTGTATTTCAGATGCGTTGTGCGCTTTATTCGTTTAGCTTTATCTATTAAACTCGTTAGGAATCGCTCTCCATTTTGTCATATTTCACTGGGACATTGAACCACCGTCCGCAAACCTAATTACGACCACAAACTGAGCAAGCCGCAGACGCTCCGAAAGGTCGACCCTTTAGGGGCAAGCTTAAAGCACCGCAAAGTACAAAGGCAAAATACCCGCATCAGAGGCGAAACACGAAAATGTTATTGAGGCGTTACCCAAAAGCCGATTACATAGTGGGTGGGCGTGGGAACAAGCGTTTCGGTTGATGGGTGTCAAGTTTGATTACAATTATGAGTCGACACTTTCAGCACAGACATCCTGGCAGGCACAAGTTAATAGGGAAAGTAAAGGAAAAAGAACTCATCAACTTCTTCTGCACTTGATCTTGGGCCAGACTTTAATTTGTCACCCAATTTATCGATTTGGGTGACATGAATAATTTAAGTTAAGTGTGGCTAATCGGAAAAGTCAGGCACAAAATGTCAGGGAGATGGCATATCCAGGACATGAGCTAACAAAAAAAAATGTGACTCGCCTTGGTCACAAGGATTCGAGATGGTGGCAAATGTAACATAGGGTCTAAGTGGGAATACATGTTGTTTCGTAATTAAGTCTAATTTGCCGTGATGATTTAAACTGCCTAGCGAGGCGGAAAAGGTGAAAATGGTGCGGAAAACGCACATGACAATGAGCCCAACAATAATGAAAAAGATGCTGGCACAGGCAGTTGAGATAAAAACGGCAACATGGCATAGACGTAGTCAGGGTCAGGTCCCAAATTGCCTGTCCCTGGCAGGCTAAATGAGCCTCAGCCCCATCCTCAGTCTCATTCTCATTCTGATTCTCAGTTTCATCCTCATCCACATCCTCCTGAGTCGCAGCCACAAATGTCAGGTGTATGCGTTCATTTTTGTTCCAAGGCAAAAGGAATACGGCAATGACAGTGGAAGAAGAACCATTTTCTTGGGACTGCTTTAATAGTCTGCGCCTTGACATTGAATGTCCCGGGGTTACCTTACACCATTGTCGCCTCGCTCCGAGTGCTTTATGTTGGGTTCTTTAAATGCCAACGGTGCTGAGCTTATGAATTTGCGGCCGAAACACGTACATACTTTGCTACCAGGTTACTTGGTAGTCTTTCCACCTCAAATCCCTCAACCGCCCACGTGCTCATATCTCATGTGGAGGCGGCGCTCAATTCATAAATTTGACAAATTATATGGCCGCCCATAAAGTAAATGCCAATGGCGGCGTCCCCCATAAGTAGGCAACAATATTTTTATGCTCCCCCCTTATTAACATTTCTAATGTAATTACGCACGTATCTAGCATTTAACTTGGCCACTGGATCTTAAACCAACCATCCACGCCCTAGAAATGCTCGGAAGGCGGACAAGATGAGTTCTGTGCGCTTGACACGCAAAAATGATGGAAAATATGATAAATGATGACAAATTAATGGCCGCAAAAACGAGGTAAGCTACTCGTAAAGCCGAGCGCGGTCAAATCGCACAAAATCGCTCGGCAGGAAGGTGCAAACAAAAAAAAAGAAATAAATAAATGGGCGACTGGAAGGCTAAGTCATGTCCTTGACAGCTACAACATCCGCGTTTCGTGGACAATGTGGCAGGTTACAGCTCAGGCAATTGCTCAAAAACAAAGGGGGACATAAAAGGCTATATGCAAAGGCTTATTCTTAAAGTTCTCTTTATGAATGTCGTATGTTTAAAGTTTGAATAAATTTAAGACTGAGGTAAAGATTAAAATGGTTTAAGGGCAAGGTATGTTACTAAAGAGAAGCCAAAACTGTGGTTGGTAAAAAACACCACTTGATTCAGGGCCAGAAATTAATGAAGCCAATGTCAACCTAGACATATGAGCACACATGTCCAGTCGACGGATGTGTGGTGAAGCCACCACAACAGGGAGGACTCACCGCAATTTCCGGTGGCGCATGACGGACACAATCACCAACATGTTGCCCAGGATGGCGGCCAGTATGATGAAACCAATAATGAAACACTTGACGAAGACTAATGCCAAATGGCTGCTGCCATCGGCGTCGTCGGTGGATCCTTCGCCCGCCTGAATGTCCTGTGCCTGTCCAGCAACTACATCTTCGACGGATACGGCAATGCTGCTACCACTGCCCACCGCACTGCCCAAACCCTCGTCGATGAGCCCATCGGCTATGAATTTCAAATATCGGGCATGTGAAGCGGATTCCTCCAGCACGGGAAGTTTGCCGCCTGCCAGGGGTTCCTTTGTCCCGCCACCGATGTTGATGCTGCTGCCCTCCAATATTGTCCTGGTTGTGGTGGCCGACATGGCCTGAAGTCTTTGCAAAAGCGTCATGGTAATGACCACAGGCGGTGCTAGTTTGTGCTCTTAGTTGCCAGATCCAAATGTTGTCCTAATGCCATGGAAAAGCACTCTCAATGCGGACGACATGCTGCCTGGCATTTGCTCTCGTTCTGAGAACTCCTATTATTGCCAATCGTTTGCCAAGTCCTGCAATTGAAAAAAAACTCGATTTATTTTCTGCCATATTTATGAGCCCACTTTTCAAAAAGGGCCAACAACAGTTCGTCGATGGAAGTAAAGGGGGCTTTAACATGTGTATTTGCAGAGTACTTACTTAGATAAAGGCAATACAAATATTTAGTTGGCATTCAAAAGAGTATTTAAGTTTATACTAATATTTATTTTTGGTAGCAGTTAAATGAAAAATGATTTCTTTTTTCAAAGGGAATGCTATTTTCTGTATTATTTTTTGGTGCTGCAAAATGTTGCATACCAAGTTTGGGAGAATATAAAACCATAAAAGTATCTTTTGACTTCTTTTTAAAAATACACAAAAATGTGGTTACTTTTCTACCAAACAAGCATTGTACCCTTCCTTCCCTGACTACGTGTCTCATGAAAATGTATAGATTAAGCTTCATTTTAATATCTGAAGAGTTCGAAAAGTATATCAAGTTGCCTGAAACCTTGTATTCATCTTTTGACTTCTGCTTGAGATTCCGCAAACGCGTTCTCCTGGATTCGACGATATCCATTTACATTTGCATCAATTCGGCATTTGTTGTGACAGCCAAATGAACCGCAACGTGCTGGCTATTTGTCTTCTATCCGCCTGCTCAGTCGCATGCCCCAAAATATCGTGGAACATGCAAATCTCTGAGGCAGTTGAATAAGCAAAATCAGAGCCGGAGTTAAGCCCATAAACACCTTGTGGCTTTGATGGCAGTATTGTATGGGTGTATATAAATTTCGTTAGCCGCAGGCTCGGGCAGACAATGAAATTGAAACCCGGTTGGTAAACACTTGCAGGCGTCGCACTGGGCGGTTGTGGGTGAAGTTGTAGTGAGCAAAACGTAATCCCACTCAATTGGTTTAATTTACCATAAACAGCTTCAATTTCTGAGCCGTTGGAGGAAAATTTCCGTTTCAGGGCCTGCAAAATTCAGCTTCCTTCCTTTTCCCAAAAGGCACCAGCTGCTGCCCGAAATTCCATCTCATACCATCTGCTGCTAGCTGTCTCTTTGGCTCTCAGTTCTGGCCATATTTCAGCATCAACATCAGCGACAGAGAGGCTTATCATTAGCAAATGTCAATTTTCAAATTATGTACATTTATTTTGCAATTTGCTTGCCTGGTAATCGATGCCAGCCCTCTCCCATCCTCCTTGACTTGATTGTCATTGCCTTGGGCTACACTTTCCCATTTGAATAGAGATAGGGGGCAGTATAATACTCGTACTTATGTATGTACTCTTAGAGACTCCATCTCCCTTTGGAGTAGGCAAACATTTGGAGGAGCCGAACCGAACCGTAATTCCCATGTCGGGCCAACTAAGTAAACTCCGGCTAACAAATACGAGTGTCGGCAGGAGGAATTGTGTTTATTTGCGTGAGGAATACATATACGAGTATGTTGGAGCCTTTCAACTGGCGCACCTTCAGGGAAATGAGTTTTATGTGGTTTTTTCTGTGTGTCTGTGTGTGTGTGTGTGTTTGTGCGAATGACACTAGCCAACAAAGCGACCGCGACTGAAGTGAACTTTAAATCAATAAAGGACAACAAAATTGAAAAGGCTCGTGGGTCGCGCATCCTCCACTGCCACCACCTTCACCTCCACCACCATCACCCGCACTTTTCGAATTTTCCCGACCAAGTGCTTTTGTCAAACGCATTGACAATGCGCCACAACAATGCCATCCAGCGCCAAGTCAGATTCCCGGGGTCTCAGCCTTTGTCTGAATGGGGAAATCGAGGGGACTGGGCATATACATCACAATACATCATTCACAGCCGGTGTGTATCAACGGTTATTTTTTAATATATATATACATTTTTTGGTAAGTGAAAACCCAGCCAGCATCTTTACCTTTTTTCTGTCTGAGACTCCCTGCCTTCATTTGACCTTTCAAAGTTAGCCAAGCATACGGTGGATGCAAATGCTGAGCAGGCGAGAAAAATGGTCGAAAAAGCAGCAAAAGAACTAAGTCCAGGAAGGGATATAGATATATATCATAGCAGCTATCAAATCAATTGAAGTTTAAATCAATCAATGCAATCAATACGCACATCAAATCAAATCTGTGGGATATTTTTGGCAGAACAATATTTCAGCCAGTGTCAGCCGCTGTCTGAAAATTGGCTGGATAGGTTCGGTTCAGCTTGGATTTGGGATTGGGATGGGTCCTTGCCAGGACATGCTACGCTTCACTCGCATTCTGAATGGATGTGATTTATTTCATTTTTGGCCCGCTGAGGTCCATTGTGCTCAGTTCGGTGCAGCCAGCTCGGGGAGTTAGGAACAACTTTGGCTTGTTAGTTATTTATTCTTACTTATTCTTTGCTTATTTGAATTTGCCTCTGTTTATTTAGAGCTGAGCGACTTGGGCCAAGCCACAAGCGTTGATGTTTGCTCTCGGCCCACCCACACACAAAAGTCGAAAAAATTAATTTGGAATCTTTCGTTTTTGTTTGGATACGGATTTGGTTTTTGGTTTTGGTTTCGGGCTTGGGTTTGGGTTCGTCTGCGGCTCCCAGATTGATGGTCAGCTTTAATTACTTTTCGAAGAGCGTTTTGTTTGGCTCTTAATTAATTTTTAATTTATGCAAAGAACCGGGAAATCTTCCAGAAAAGGAGCTTTCTTTATTTTTTTTTTTGGCATCCCTTTCGCTAATCGATTTGGACTTAATCCCAAAGATGCCACTTAAGCACACGCAGTGCGTTCTAATTGAGTCGCCCAATCGAGTCGAAGTCATTTATCAAATGGTGGAATTACAAGCAGAACAGACCAAAAGGCTCATAAATATGTCCCTCGAAAAGCGATTTAATTGAGTGCTAAAAAGCCTCAAGACAAAGGCGGTCCGAGCCTTCGAGGAAATGAAATCGGGCTTGTCACCCTGCTAACAAATCGAACCCAAACGGAAAACGAATCGAATGGCAGCGAATCGAAACTAATTGGACGCCTGGAAATATGCAAAGATAAATCGACGGCGGTCAACCGCAACCGAAAGAAAACAAAAAAAAAAGGAAAAACAAAGATAACTTTGTTGCGTTTATGTCGACCATTTGCTAAATCAAACAACAGTAAAGGCGGAAAATAAAAATGGAAAGGAAGAAAACCATACATATATATTAAGGAGGCCCCCCCAGGATAGAGTCCCCCCAGAGGCAATCAGGCTGACAAGGCGGAAGTAAAAGTTCAATTATTCATCTGGCCAAGCTCCGAAGTTCCCTCACTTTCTTTGCCTCGATTGTGGCCCACACACACACACACACAGATACACAGCCACACAGATACATATTCATATGCTGGCCATCAACGGACTTGGCCTTGTTCGCATTTACATTTTAAATTGCAGTATTACGAGCTCTATTTGCATTGCTGGCCGCCAGAACAACGCGTTGCCCATTTTCGAGCAGCAGCATTCTGTCTGCAGGCACTCAACAAAAATTTACCAAGAGAGAGATTAGTTTATCAAAATGTAATATTTGGAATTTAATAAATGAACTCGCTGGTTGTACCTACAATTCCTAAACAAAAATGTTAAAAAATATTTAGATTTCAGAATGCAGAATAGTTTTTCTTTGAGTGCTTGTATATTTGGTTTACATTATTCGCACACACAAACACACACACACACCTTAGCTGAAAATAGATGAGCATTTTAGTTGGCATTTTTCAGGTCTGCATTTTTGAGGCCTGACGGCAGGAGCGTTGACAACGACAGCGTATCCTGCGGCTCCTGTGGCCTTTCATCGTGTGGATGTCGAGTTGAGTGGAGTGGTCCTAGGATGAATAATGAACTGCATAATTCGAGCAGCATTTTGGGAATATTTACAAAATAAACATTGTCACAGGAGCGAGCACAAAATATTTCGTATAAATTACAATGCAAAATAAACGTTTGAATAGAAAATGTCATTGATAGCCATTTGTGGAAAAAGCAAATATGAAATTAATTAATTCATTAATTATTTAGAATGGCTTTACATAAAGCTAACCTCAGGAGGGCTCACATTGAAAATGTTCAAATTGATTAGCTTGTAACCGCAATATTATTTGAATAAATGAGACTGTTAGGTATAGATAAATCTCTAACATTTCTACCTACTTTGTCTATCACCCTGGAACTCCGCCTGCGGGGCTGCTAATTAAATTGCATTCTCGTCTGCCGGAAAATGGGTCAGACATTAAGAAAGTTAAAAAAAAAAAGGGGTAGCCCTGAGCTCAGAGCATCCATAATGGCCAGTCAGGCAGCCAGCCAGTCAGCCAGCCAGTCAGCCAGCCGGTGCCTGCTTCCCCATAAAAGTGGCGGTTATGCAATTTTTAATTAATTTCGCTGGCTGCGGCGGCCGCTTCTGCTGCTGCTGATGCCTTCCACCCGGTCACACCCACATGTGCTGGGTTTTATCTTACAGCCCACAAATATGCACCCTGAATGTACAGTACCATTGCCATGGCTAGGAAGCATGGTTGGAGAACCATGGTACACGCCCAAAGCCATCGCTCCGCCATGGATGTTGAATATTTCAGTATATTTGCACGTCGAGCACGTTGGAGCACTGGCGATCCATGATGCATGTCGTTCCGCTTCCGGCTGTTGTTTATATCATTTATACTGCTGGTTATGTTATACTGCTGGCCAGCAAAGCCAAAAAGTGTGAAAATTGTTTGCCCACATGGCCCTTTCCGTTCGTCATAGTTTGGGTCTCTTTGACCGTTGGCCCTGCCACTTGACAGCTTGAGGGGGGAGGCAAACATTTTCACACGCACCGCAGCTTTATTAAAATAAATTTACAACTTGCGGAAATGAGTTACAGCACAAGGCATACATGAGGACAAAAAGAGGAAATTTAATTCACCCGGCTGCCTTGAAGACAGAAAAATAACGACTAAAACGTGCTAGAAACGCTTTAATTGGTATACAGGGTGCCGTTTCCTTGCGGACGTCTGAAATATTTAGCATATTTTGTTGACACATTATCAA